AAAACGCAGGTTCGCTGAGTGATGATCACATCTCATGGTACGCTTGTCCTTCAAATAAAGAGGCATTTTATTTATCAGAATACTGAGGACCAATGATAATAGATGCAGTATCCACCTTTGTCGCATAGTAAGCCATTGAATATTTTTAATATGATCAGATACCATCTCCCGCCTTTGAATACCTAAACTGAATCTTATGCAGATGTTTTGCACTTTTTGAAGTCTGTATGCTTCGCTCTGTATTATACATGGACCATAGACAAGGTCCCCGTATTCAAGTTTACTTAGGATAAGGGAGTCACACAGCTTAACCTTGGTCTGCTTAGACAATACATTTTTATAGCTATAAATTGACCTCAACTTAGCATAGGAACGCTGAACAGCTTTGGTAACATGATCATGGAAGCACAGGTTCTCATCAAATGTGATGCCCAAGTTGCGAACCGATGTCATGTGTCAAACTTCATCACCTCCAATACACAGCTTTATTAATTCACTATTGAATTTGCTGAATTTAGATTTAATAGTTATGATAGCCGACTTTCTAGGGTTAATACATAAGCCATGTTTGTTATGCTACACACATATACTATTTAAATCCTCAGACAACAACTCATTCGCTTCAGTGTACATAGCAGGGTTGTAAGATAGATAAATCTGTGTATCATCGGCGTAGGTATGTAATTTGCAGTATTTAGTGACTTTATCTAAGTCCGCTACATAAAGAGAAAACAGAATAGGTCCAAGAATAGACCCCTGTGGTATACCTTTGGAGATAGTACCCTCCTGTGATAAGATGTCACCGATTTTTACCTGATGAATGCGTTCATGAAAATAACTGCGAAACCAATTAATCGAACTATCGGAGAAGCCAAGATAATGAAATTTTGCAATAAGTAGTTCATGGTTGAGGCAATCAAAGGCCTTACTTAGATCTATCATGACAGCAGTAGTAACTTTAGAATTGTCTATTGCCCCTATGAAGTCGTCACAGACATCGAGCAGAGTTGTTACGGTGCTGTGGTTTTTTCGAAACCCAGGACTTCGTAGATGGAATTATCTTAAAGGTAGTGACGTGCTGCATCAATTGCTCATATACAATTTTTCTAATAGTTTTGATAACACTGGAAGGATACTAATTGGTCTATAATCATCAGGTCCTTCCGGAGCATCAATTTTAGCAAGAGGCCTAACGCATACGGCTTTCCAAATTTTAGGAACTAACCCTTTTTCCAGCGAATAGTTAATTATATGAGTAATCGCTTTATAACAAAAAGGAAACACTAGAGCTAACATATTTATATTCAAACCATCTAGTCCAATCGCCCGAGATTTTATTTTATTGAAAATGTGTAATATTTTATCCTCCGTGACCGGTTTCAACTGAAACAAGTTGTCTATAGATGGCAAAACATTGCTATTGTAATGATGAATAATACTGGTATCCACACAATTATCTGGAATGGAATTTAGGAAATATTTGTTCACTAAATCAGGTTGCATTGTGCATTCTAAAGTATGTTTAACAGGATTATGTACACCTAGTTGTTTGATGGTTCGCCACCAATCACGGGAACTTCTACCTTCTTTAAGCTGCAGTTCTATATAGGCTTTTTTTCTCTTCTTATGGAGGCTGTCACAAAATTTCTGAGTTGTTTATAATAAACCCATTTGACATTGATCAAATCTGCAGAAAGAGCATCCCTTACCCCTTTTTTATATTTCATATATGCATTGTTTCTCAATCTCATCATGAACTTAATGTTTTTGGTGATCCAAGGATAGCTTTGTTACTTTTACTGTTGTGATGGGCGCGCATATGTCTAGCAAAATATTGATCAAATCATACAAGTAGCTTAGCTTGGATTCAAGATCTTCGAAGTTGATAACTCCTAACCAGTACATTGATGAAGCTACCTCAGCGAGTAAGTTGGTATCTAAATTCCTTAAATCGCAGATACGTATAGTTTGGCAAACGGATCTGCAACAGCGAAAGGAATGCGACCGAAAATATTCGATATTGCCAAATTTAACTACAAAAAAGCAATAATAATAATAAAAGTAATTTCAATGATTTGAAAATCGATTTTTCACAATTCCAAAAAATATTAATTCAAAATACTGAGAATTTTAATGGGTTGTTAGCTCTATTTGTATTTACTAACTATTTTTTACTACTGAATCGTATTATAAGTAAACATTTTTCCAAAGATCTTATCTACATCGGTTGAGCTGGCAACAACCACCCGAAAGGTATATTGGACACCGCCTAAACGAATCTGATTGGCGGATATCCTCACATGTTTTGTCGCCATGAGAAAATTCGACTCCCTATTGGGTAGCGTCCCAGACAATTTTTTGCTCCTTTCTTAGAATATCCATACTATTGAAAAGTCCAGTGGCGTAGGTTTTATCTCCGTTAATTGTCGTATATGAGTTTTACAACTATTATTGTTAACTATTTATTGTTCTATTAAGTTTGTATGTTTAGTGCTGTGTGTTTTTGAATAGTTTAATGTTTTGTTATTTGATATTGTTATTCGTTTTAGTATTATTTTTTTAAAATGAACCAATTTACTCGCGGAAAGACGCTTCATAGCCAAACAAGAGAAGTGATTGCGAATGTTTATAGGTTAGTAATAATAATATGCAATAATTGTAGTTTTTGACGACTGAGTCTGAATATAAATAAAAAACAAGGAAATGCTAAGCTAACATTCTGATGATTATTTATAGGGTTTGCGATGAGGAAGCGGCAAACAGTTCCCTCAAGTTGCCGCTTAAACGTAAGCTTGATAGGGTGTCCCTTTATACCGGAGTCGGAGTATCTTCTGTTAGGAAAATTCATAACGAAGATAAAGAAAGACTAGAAAATAACCCGAATAAAATGTTATCCAGTCCCGGAAAAAAAAGACCGCGTCAGTCTCTTGTTGAGAAAGATGAAGATTTTGATTTTCAGATTATTAGACATTTGATAAACAGATTTTATCTTGAATATAAAGTTGTCCCGACAACTAGGAAGTTATTACAAAAGTTGCGAGAAGACTCAAATTTCCCCTATTCTAGGGAAACTCTCAGGAGTTTATTAAAATCAAATGGTTTTTTTTGGCGCAAATGTAAATAAAAGAAAAGTTTTGATGGAGAGGCCCAATATATTGCAATGGAGGTACAAATACATCCGTGAAATACGTAGATATCGTGAAGAAGGGCGCAATATAGTTTATTTGGACGAAACCTGGGTGGACAATGACTTGACTTTCAAAAAATGCTGGCAGAGCGAAACTGTTTCTGGTGTAATAAGCAGTATAGGTTCTACAGGTAAGCAAAAATGCTATATATATGTTAAATTTAACTCTGATTTGTAACATATTATATAATCGTCTTGTATATTTTAGGTCGACTCATTATAGTGCATGCAGGTTCAGAAAATGGATTTGTTGACAATGCCTGTTTGATATTTAAGGCGGGATTAGCTACAGGCGATTACCACGGTCAGATGAATCGGGAAAATTTCACACGCTGGCTCACAGAAAAACTCCTCCCGAATATACCTGCCAATTCGGTTATAGTATTTGACAATGCTCCATATCATTCCGTCCAGGAAGATAAAACCCCGACAAAATCATCTTCGAAAAAAGATATAATGGCCTGGTTGACAAAGAAAGGTACTTATGACTCAAAACATGCATGTACATATCAAACTATACAATAAATACATCATGAGGCAACTGCCAGAAAATTTGACTTGTTCGATCTGGTCTTACTTCATAAGCCCCCTGACAACCAAAAAAATTATGTAGTTGATCGGATCATAAGATCACATGGACATACTCCTCTAAGAACACCTCCTTATTTATGCGAGCTAATCCCAATAGAATTAGCTTGGGCAAAGCTTAAATTTCATATAAGAAGCCGCAATACCACTGGAAACTTCAGTTTAACCGCACTGAAAGAAGTTACTCAGGAAGCGATGTCCTTAATATCCATTAATGATTGGCAGAAATTTTGTCAACATGCTAGGGACATTGAAGATAAATTTTGGGAAAATGATCAATTTATGGAGGAAATGGAACCAGTTATAATAACTATAGGGCAAGATGACGACAGCGAATCTGATGACGACAGTGACGATGATGATAATGATGAAGTTGACGAACACCAATGCTAATTCAATAGGTGAAATGTAATTTTGAAATGCTGTATAATCTAAGTATTATTTATTACAGAGGTTATAAGTTAAACGGATATGAAATGTGTTTAAAGTTCTTTGTTTCTACTTAAGCGACACCGATGCTCTAGAAATATCCACATCAACAGTCCAAAATTGCAACAATAGGAATCCAGAAAGATGCGGATTATAAAATAAAAATTAATTCTGGTCATGTTTCGGCTTGTGGCACTTTTTAAAGTAAATGAGCATGTTATAAGATCACGAATGTATAATATATATATATATATATATATATATATATATATATATATATATATATATATATATATTCTCAAGGTAAAAAACCACGTTAAGTATCTATTTGTATTTGAAAAATATATTTTATTTACGGCTTTGACAAAAACGCTAGCTTGATTTAGGTTTTAAATCGCGCAGTTATCATGATTTTTTGAATTGTGGCAATTTTGGGAAGTGAGTAGACATTTTTCCGTTTGTTGAAGTGTAGAAACAAACTCAAGTGTTTTTTTACATGGTGTAGATTGTAGAGATACAGCTATTTTTGAGTTTACCCGAGACTTTATTTATTATTATGGACAATGCTCCATATCATTGTGGGCTTATTGAGATACTCCCCAAATTTAAAGTGAAACATAAACGTATAGTTTACTAAATTTAAACCAATTATGAAATAATCCCAAACTTTTATAAAATACCGCACGCCGCTGGCATTTTATGAATGAAACCAGCCATGTTTTGCTTTCCCCTCACCGATACCCCGATGTTGCAGATCCGTTTGCCAAACTTTATATATGTTTGTCTGTAGAAGCTGGCTGGATAATCCGTGGAAGGTAGATTTACAGCTCCGGTTTTTGTGATGTTTAAGTTTTTATCTACGAATACCACATCTATCAGACTTCTGAGGTTATCTGTTACTCTTGTTTCCTAACTTACTATTTGATTCAAATTGAAATCCTCGAAAATTGTTGACATGAATGAATAGTTTAGGCCTTGTTTATTCAAAACATTTATATTTAGATCACCCATGCATACTATATGATCAGATGATGTGAAAACAGTAAGTAGTGAGTATTCCAGGCCTGTCAAAGCTATATAATCAACATTAAGAGGTTTGTACACAACAGCCACAGCAAATGCTTCTTTATTTATTTTAACCCTAACCCAAAGTTGTTCAAGGCCCGCTTGTGTTGCAAAGTTAAAATCAGATACTTGGAAGCAATGCATTCCTTTTCTCACATAGAGAGCGACTCCACCGCCTCTCCTATCTTTCCTGTCACACCTAAACAACTGAAATCCTGGAACATGGATATCATGATCAATGATGTGTGGTTTGAGCCACGTTTTGGTGAATCCGATGATATCAAAATTTTGCGACAACACTTAATCTTTAACATCACAAAAACCGCTAGTAAGTGATCTAATATTTACACATCCTATGATCAATCAAATCACTGAGTATATTTTTAGAATTAAAAAAAAATTTAAGGTGCCTAACCGACAGTAAACAATTCAAACCAAAATTTGAGTAACTGCATTTTTCATTTTTGATTTTTCAACTCCAAAATATAGCGTTTAGTCTGTTTAGAAGTTTTGAAATAGTTTCCGCATTAATTAATGGGGTTCTTATTTTTATATATGTACATCCATGTCGCACTGGATATGTTAGCTTATTTTTTTTTATTTCAAATTTGTTTTTTTTAACACAATTATACAAAATTTTCAATATAAAACGCTATGTTACATATCCCAGTGTGATACTTTTCCATTCGAAAAAATTGTTCGAAAAAATGCTTTTCGAAGCCCGTAACTTGGCAAATGAACGTGCCATGAAAAGAAAACCGTATTTTGTTTCTTTCACATATCTGTGTTTGTTTGTTTGTTTCAGATTTATTTAGCATTAATGCAACAATATCCATAATATCCATATTACACAGTATATCACAAAATATATTTTGTCTTCAAGACTACATATTTTTATACAAAACTTCACTAATATGAATTCTGGTTTTCCATGGGATATTTTTTCAATTTCCCTTTGAACATTTTCTAACTGACACATCTTGATATCATTACTTAATTAATCAAAAAATTCGTACAATCCTTTTTGAAATACTGTCTTGCTCGTTATATTGCTACTGCAGTTTTGTAAATGAAAGTCTATACTTCCTCTAGTAGAATAATTGTGGCACTCATTGTTCCATACAATAAAATTTTGTGTGTGATTTGGTAGATGATTTTTTAACTTAAATATGAAAATGACAACCAAGTAAGCTATGAAATTTTTGATATTTAACCATTATAGTTCTTTCAGCATAAAATTTATTCTAGCATATTTATTTTTATTTAAGATGATTCTCATAGCTTTATTTTGTAATATTTGTAATTTTAAAAATACAGTTTCATTTGCAGTGAACAAAATAGAATAGAATAGAATGATAGTGTTGTACACAATTTTTTTAGAATAAACGCTTAGGCTATGCGAAATTCTATAAAAGTAATTTATTTTCTTGGATATTTTTGAAATGATATATTCATAGTCCCTTCAAATTTTAATTGACTGTCTACGTTATGCCCAAATATTTAAATGATTCGATTGACACAATTTTTTCATGATTATTAGCATATATTTTGTTTTGTTTGTGTTTAGTTTAAGTTTATTTACATTTAACCAATTTATTACGTTTTTCATATCATTACTTAACAGCTCTATTGAAGTTTCAATATCTCTATTTGAAGGCGCATCGAAAACGAAACAGACGCATTTACTGGCAGCTCAGTTTTTTTTTTTTTGGAAAAACGCTCAGACCCGTCGATTTTGTTTTCGACGGGGACACAAGTTTCTCAAAAAATCACGTTAACACGTGCAGCCCCCTGGGCGGGGGTGACACCAACCCTAAAATCTTAAATGGAAAGGGGGGTCGAGTGATACCTTATTTTAAGAGTCTTTCAATTCCCTTTATAATGATGCAAAATACATAAGCTTCAGTTCAGTAGTTCTGAAGATTTATTGATTTAAAGCTTAAAGTAGACTTTAATAGGTACATCAGATTAGTTTGTACTACTTTCAGAAGAAATTTGACTAAAAGAATTTACTTAATAAGTAAATGCTTTTGTTATTGAAAATAGCTATTGTAGCGTTTTTTGTGGCAAAAAAGTTATTTCTTGAAGAAAGATAAAGAAATATCTCGTACTTATTTTAAATAGGAATTTAGTACATAGTTTGCGATAGATTTGACCAAACTTTGTTGCTAAAATAACGCTTTATTACATAAATTAACCATGGCATATTCCAGAGCAGAAAGAGTTGAAATTATCGAAATATTTTTCGGAAATAATCAGTGCGCTAATAGAATAGCAGAAATATTTGATGAACGACATGAGAACAGTAACGTGCATCGAAATTATGTTCTAGAACTTGTAGCTAAATTTCGGGAAACTGGGTCAGTCGCCAATAAAAAACGCAACATTGAAAATCCCATAAGGAACGAAGCAATAGAAGTGGGGGTTTTAGGGCAAGTTTATGTAGATCCTACGCTAAGTACCCGCAAATTGGAGACTGTGTGTGGTGTTCTGCCGTACGTACTGCCCAATGGATTCTAAAGGCCCATAGTTTTCATCCGTATAAAATTCACCTGGTACAAGAACTTAATGAAGACGATTTTGATCGGCGATTACAATTTTGTGAAGATATGAGTGAACGAATTATAAACGATGAACATTTTCTATTCAACACTTGCTTTTCCGGCGAATGTTCCTTTTTCTTAAATGGCGTAGTAAATCGTCATATAGTAACTGCCGATATTGGTCCGATTCTAATCCCAGAATTTATCATGAGGTTCATACACAGCAGCCACAAAAATTAAATGTTTGGGCTGGTATTTTTGGCGATCATTTAGTTGGTCCTTTTTTCTTACTTGAAAATTTGACCGGTGGAATGTATTTGGAATTACTGGAAGACGCCATAGATCCTGCATTAACAGCCATAATTAAAAATCAGAATGATCGGCGGTACATTGCGAATAGGTTGATGTTCCAACATTACGCATTACGTATTCGACAATATTTAGATCAGACGTTTCCAGATCGATGGATTGGTAGAAGAGGTGCCATTGAATGGCCCCCAAGATCGCCAGATTTATCACCTTTGGATTTCTTTATGTGGGGGGGTCATTTAAAAATCAAAATGTATGCTACTCAGCCAATATCATTAGAAGACCTGCGACAAAGAATTGTGAATAAATGCCTTCAAATTACTCCTCAAATATTGCAAAATGGGCGGCAACGTTTTGAGCAAAATCTTTATTATTGCATGGAGAGTCATCGTGGCCGTTTTCAACATTTACTTGCCTAACGGGTCAGTTCATTCTTCATTTTTAAATTACTTTGCTGCCAAATGTATTCACAATGATGATGTATTAGTTTTATTTAAGCTTTAAATCAATAAATCTTCAAAACTACCGAACTGAAGTACATTAATTTTATATCATTATACAGGGAATTGAAAGACCTTTAAAATAAGGTATCACTCGACCCCCCTTTCCATTTAACATTTTGGGGGTGGCGTCTGTTTCATTTAATGTATCATCAGGAATATCGTTAATATATAAAATAAATAGTAATGGACCTGCTACCCTGTGACACACCTACCGAAATGTTTTTAATGTCTGATAATGTATTGCCAATTTTAGTTCTTTGACTTCTATTGATTAAATAATTTTGTAATAAGTTGAATACTGAACCTTGAAATCCATATCAGTGCAATTTAGTTCACATTGTCTCCGTGTCAATAGTATCAAATGTTCTCTTGAAACCTAAGAACAATGTTACTGTAATTTTGTTTCGTCCATATTTCGTCTCCATTCTTCTACTACCATTTGAATTGCTGTTTCAGTAGAATACTTTTTTCTGAATCCTGCTTCAAATTTTGTCAGTATGTTATTTTCTTCAATATATTCAATGACTTGTTCATATATGATTCCTTCTAAGAGCTTCTCGACATCTGGTAGTACATTAATTGGCCGCATGTTTATATACAACTCAGAATTTTGCACTTTTGGAACATAAGTAATTGTAGAACATTTTAATTTTGAAGGAAATTCGCCATACACTAAACAGTAATTCACTAACAATAATAACTTGTAGATGTACAAAAAGGCCCAATGTGAAGGAATTTTGAAACATCACTTTTTTCGGTGTCCGCTTCACGCGAATTGTGCCATAAGTGATTTAAATGAAACTCTGTGAATTGGCGGTAGATATTTAAGGGACTTGATATCCGTGCAATCATCCTAGAGGTAGCGCTATCAAATTTCAACAGGGTACTTTGGGGTTGAACTAAGGTCGCCACTGGTGTCGTTCTAAATTCATGTATCAAGAGACGAGAGGAAAAACCTACAGATTTTGATTTAAGGAAATTTACTATGCAAATACTGAAATAAATTAGACTGAAAAAACTAGAACGATATATGAACATTTAGATTCAGATTATTTATGTAAGCATTTCTGTAAATTTTATATTCAGTTGATTTTCTGTATAGTTACAGAGTCTGGCATTGATCATCAACAGACAAGTGGACATTTTTGTTTGGGTGCGGAAAAATGTTTAAAACACATATTTTCAAGAAAATACACGTGTTATTTTGGGGAAGGGTGTATTTTATAATATCACTAGGGGGGGGAAGTTGCTAAAGACCATCACGTGAATGATAATGGCATAAAACCAACAGATAAGTAAGGGTCCGCAATAAAAATCCTAATTACTATTAAAATGCCAACCTTATTGTCAGCGGGTACAATGAACGGAAATGTGAAAAACCTTCTGGCTACAGTGCATCTTGTCTATTGTTCTGTTTTTGTTTACACTCTAATCTAATTGTAATGATTCATAATTATCTGTAATTGTATTGCTGCAGTTTCGGGTTCATGGTCAATGATTTTAATTGAGTTCCGATCGATACTGCTTCCTGCTTAAAGTCTCCTAAAAAGTATTGAAGTTATTAAGATTGCGTTGTATCTGACCTTCGGTTTGAATGTAATTACCTGCATATAATTGCATACATTGTAATATAGAAAAATGTTAGACCTACATGCCGAAGTTTAGCGTGCTGCTACACTTTTACACTTAACCATATAATCGCTAGCGGATGTTCAAAAGTATACACTATCCACAAACAGATTTGGTTCATTACATCGAAAGTAAAAATTAAATAAAGAAAAAGGCATACATTCCAAACCCAAGTAGACCAAAAATTATTAACCTGAATTAAAGACGGAATAAAAAAGAAATGAATGATTACGTAAATTATATGTTTGTAGGGTTGAGTAATATTGTTTTAACTTTTTATCGAAAGAGAGGTAATGAAAATTATTTATTATACTTTAGGAAGGTCATTATAAATAGTAGCAACATTGTAAGAAAAACTGCGTTTAAACAGTGTGGACGTATGCTTGGGTATTCTAATATTATTTTCTCTGAGGTTCTACAATAAACATCATTATTAAATGAAATTTTTCCCTCAAGTAAGAGGGTGTAGACATGAGCAACAATTTGTGAACAAAAACTGAATAGTGATACTTGACCATGTCATTAATTTTTGACCAGTTTAGAACGGGATGTTTCGCTGATACATGATCAAATTTACGTAAGCCAAAGATGAAACATACAATTGTTTTGAATAACTTGAATAACGTTTTTAGTGAAATTGTTTAAACAAGTGTAGTATACGATATTACCATAATTTAGTATAGATATGACCAATGCTTCACATAGGTTTTTACGCAACTTAAAATTTAGTAACTACCTGTTTGCTATAAGTGTACGTAGACGTAGGTAGGTTTTCTGGGAAAGTCTTTTAACGTATTCAATAAACCTTAATTTTGTATCAAAAACAACACCCAGAATTTTTGCAGAATCAGAAAATTGCAAGATTTGGTTATTTATCTGAATGTTCAAGAGCTGTGTTACATTGTATGTTTCTCTTTGTGGGCAAAATAATAACATTTTAGATTTTTGTGGATTAATAAGTAGGTTGTGATTTGAAGAGTATTTCATTAATTTACTAAAATCGTTTTGTAGAATTTTAGTAGTATTATTGGCATTATCTGGGTTAAAATAATGGAGCAATTGCATATCGTCTGGAAATGACTGCGCATGAGAATTATCAATACTTTTGCTTAAGTCGAACGTATATATGAGGAACAGCAGCGGCCCCAATACAGAGCCCTGAGGTACGCCTGAGGGAATTATTATCACTGGAGACATTTCTTGGTTGAGAAAAGCACACCGAGTTCTTTGATGAAGGTAACTGTCGAAAAATGAAGGGGATACACTGACAAGACCTATGTAATTTAATTTAGCAAGTAATAATTGATGATTGATGCTGTCAAAGGTTTTCGAATAGTCTATAGAGATTAACGCTAGTGCCTTTCTCTTATCTAAGGCACTAAAGATATTGCCTTGTAGATTGAGTAGGACAGATGTGCTACACTTTTCTCTAAAACCGGATTGAGTATCGGGAAGTATAAAGAATTTTTCTACGTAACCGGTCAATTGGAATTTCATTATTTTTTCTAAAATTTTGGATAAAATTGGTAATAAACTGATAGGTCTGAAATCATTATACATATACTCAGTGGGTTTCATTTTTTTAGGAACTGGGATAATTAGGGCTTGCTTCCGTGTGTTTGGAAAGTAGCCTTTTTCCAAACAGACGTTAAAGATGTGGACGATGTGACGGATAATAACTGGCAGGCAAAGCTGGATCATTGACAGGGATATACCATCAATTCCCTTCGCATCAGATTTTAGGCTCCTTATTGTCTGTAATACGTCATTTGAACTAATCTTATTCAATGAAAAAATATATTCAGAGCTTAATTTATATTTGAAATAGTTCTCGCAAACTAGTGAATCAACAGGTTTGATGCTACAAACAGCTGAAACTTGCTGGAAGGGTTGGTTTACTACGGAAATTTATATCAAGTTGTTTGAGAGACTTCTACAATTTTTCATCACTTTAATTTGCCAAATTTTCAATATATGTCTTTTTATCCCTCCTGATCATGTTAAGAGCACGGTTTCTAAGCGATTTGAAGTTATTGTAGGCGTCCATGGTCTTATTTGCTTTACATAAAGCTTGTGCAGTATTCTTTTCATCAAGAACAGTGCGCAGTTCATTAGTTAACCAAGGTGATGGTGGCTTATTGACTCTTACAGTTTTAAAATGTGCATGTTTATTATAGGTTTCTACGAAAACGCTTGTAATGTGCATCACCTTCTCATCAATATTAGATTTGGTAAATAATTCTTCTATACCCGATGTAGAAATATCGAAAAGAAAACGACCCTCATTGAAAAGACGAGTTTGTGGTCCGAAATACCATTCGTGTCCATGTAAAACGTTTTCCAGTAAAGATAGATTCTCGCCATTAAACAAACTAGTAATACGATATGGACAGCTGTTTCGTGCTATTTGGCAACTCTTCTACTACAGGATCAGAATCGGTGGCATCGATTGGACACAGTGGTGAACCAACCGACAATGCGAACTGGCATACAGTTCCAATAGACAGCTTACTGTTTCGCGGTGGTCGATTCTGGTAATAGATGGCACTTTGTGCTCTCTTATTTAAAAAAAAACGTATGTCTTTGACCTCACACAAACAAACGCCCACGTATTGAGACGGACTATGGTTTCACTGAGACGCGCGCCAGAAATCGTGAAAACACCTAGAGTAAAGATACCGGAACGTACAAGATTACTGGGATTCAAACTACCTGTCGTTTGTTATTGTTCCAGGACATATGTTGGTCAACTGGTGCCTATCGGAGTTCGGCGAGGAGCATCCTCTCAGCGAGAAGTTGACCGGACCAGAGTTTAAATTGTTAGCGGTGCAGTTTTGCACTCATTTATTGGCCGCAGGCGTGCTCAAACAGATTCCTGACAAGGACGTGCCTATGTACAACATTTTTAAGGTAAATCGCAAAGTATGGATCGTATTTTGTCTTGAGTATTTTAGGTATTAGTAATAATTCTCAGCGTTTGGTGGATTTAACTGCCAAAGAAGAGAAATCACAATTAATGACTTTGAAACGTTAAGAGAGTCACTTTTACAAGCCAATATCACTGAAATTTTTAATGATGCCTGGCACTTCTCAAAAATTATGGATTGTATGGAGAACTGCATGAGAGACGCATCAATTAGGGAAGTGGTATATCAAAGGAAAAAGTAAACACTCTGGTTTTCACAAATATTTCTGGAGTCTAAACTGACGCGTGGTAATGACTATGAAAAGTGTATGATCACTCAAACTGAGGAAGATTGGATACAATATAAGAAATCAAGAAACAAGTGTTTAACAAATCTTAGGAACGAAGAAAAAATATTATGAAAGCAAAATCGATAGCAATAAAAATAACAGTAAAATGATGTGAAAGACACTAAAAAACATTGTATCTCACAGTAGGAAGAATGAATTATCAAGAAAGTGCTTCGAAGATGGTATAGTAACACAAGAAATATTGATTGCAGAACGAATGAACGCTTATTTTATAGAAAGTATAAATGAGAGAGTATAAATGAGAATCAATCGAAGATGGGGATCCAAATCTATGTCACATGCAAGTTACTTATAATTCTTCTATGAGACAATTCCAAACAATAAATATCAGCAATCTTTCAAAAGCTATTACAAGATTGAAATCGAATAGAAATCCTAGTGAACATCTCTCAAAGATGGTTATGAAAGGATGTTTCAACATTATTGGAAGAAGTTATTATTGTTAGTGAATCACTATTTAGTGTATGACGGATTTCCTTCAAAATTAAAATGTTCTACAATTACTCCTGTTCCAAAAGTGCAAAATTCTGAGTTATATACAAACATGCGGCCAATTAATGTACTGCCAGATGTCGAGAAGCCCTTAGAAGGAATCATATATAAACAAGTAATTGAATATATTGAAGAAACAGCAATTCAAATGGTAGTAGAAGAATGGAGGCGAAATATGGATGAAAAAAAGTTTACAGAAACATTGTTCTTAGATTTCAAGAGAGCATTTCAGACTATTGACTTTGTTAACGAAATTGCATTGCTATGGATTTCAAGGTTCAGTATTCAACTTATTATAAAATCATTTAATCAATCGAAGTCAAAGAACTAAAATTGGCAATACATTATCAAACATTAAACACATTTCGGTAGGTGTGCCATAGGCTAGCAGATTAGGTCCATTACTATTTATTTTATATATTAACGATATTCCTGATATTTTACAACACTGCAAAATTCAACTATTTGCTGATGATACATTAATATATACAGGGTGGCCAAACACGTGACGTCATAAAAAAAAATTAGATTCCCCACATCGAGAGGAACCCAAATCATCCCCATATATATGGTCAGATTTTGTTTAGTTTAGGAGTTATGATTTTTTTTCGGATTTTTCGAGAATTTTTGAGTTCTGTGTTTATTTTTACCATAACTTCGTTAATAATTGTGATAAATGCCTGCTTTTTTCACGATTATGTAGCTAAGACCTAAGGCTTAACTATCATATAATCATTCAAGTCATGTAACTAATACTACTTTTTAATTTTTTTCAAAATCTTCGAACATAACAAAAAAGTAAAAAAGTGCAACAACTTTGAACGTTTATAAAAAATTGAAAAAACATGTTCTTACTATTCGTAAGTATCTTAAAAACTTCCTTACGGTATCAGCTATTTACCGTAAAAATTTCATCAACCTAGCTTTACTACATGCTACCGTAATTGTGGCTCAAATAGAACCGAACCCAAAATTGGATAACCCTCTGCTCAATAGAAATTGTTAGTTTCGGAAAAAAAATTTGCAAAAACTACAAAAACACGTTTGATTTTTACTGAACAGCAGATTATTATTCATTTATGTTATTTACAAGAGGTTTTCAAAATGTCTGCCTCTAACAGAAATGCACAGTGTACACCTACGTATGAAATTTTGTTTTAAATCTCTAAATGCTTGTGTGTTGTTTTTCAACACATGTGTCGCTTCTTGAATTTTGTTCCTCAATGAATTTTCATTTGCACATTCTTGGGCGAATGTTATGTCTTTAAAATATCCCCAAACAAAAAAATCAATGGGGTTGAGGTCAGGGGAGCGTGGAGGCCATCGTATCGGTCCGTTTCGTCCGATCCATCTGTCTGGGAACCTTTCGTTTAAGTAGTTTCGCACGATCGTTGCGTTGTGGCATGGTGCACCATCATTCTGGAACACCATGTTCCGTCTGGCTTCCAGGCTTGAATCTTCCAGCAATAATGGTAGGCTATTTTCAAGGAAGCTTTTGTAGGCTACCGAATCCAACCTTGACGGCAGTTCAAATGGACCGATAAATTCCATATTGAATATTCCTGACCACATGTTCACACTAAAACGGTGTTGAAATGTCGACGGCCTTGACTGGTGGGGGTTTTCAACAGCCCAAGTATGTAAATTATGGATATTGAATATCCCTGTTCTTTCAAAACGTGACTCGTCAGTCCATAAAATTTTATCAAAAAAATCGGGATCCTCTCGTTGTCTTCGCAGCATTGTCTCGCAGAAATCCACTCTTAACTGGTAATCTGAAGGCATCAACGCTTGAACTCTTTGAACATGATAGGCATGATAACCTTCTTCATGAAGAATATTTTGTATCGATGTTCGTGGTATTCTAAGGTTTTGTGCCATAGATCTCGTACTCGTTGAGGGATTCCGGCTAATTTCTCTGCTTTGCATACTGATTTGGACTTTGTTTGCTAAGAAGTTTGTGATGCATTATACGTTGCGTGAATATGCAGAAATGCATTATTATTATGGCGTTGCTCAAGGCAACGGCGCTTTAGCAGCTCAGCTGTACCGGGAACAACTTATACGCCGAGGCGGACCACAACCTGAGCATTACCCAGACCACCGTGTTTTTATTAACACACATAACACTTTCATGGCAGGCCGCATTCCAGGACGAGGAAGCAATGAAGGATATCCTACAGCTGATCCGGATCGCAGAGAAGTAGTACTTGAAGAAATTAGCCGGAATCCCTCAACGAGTACGAGATCTATGGCACAAAACCTTAGAATACCACGAACATCGATACAAAATATTCTTCATGAAGAAGGTTATCATGCCTATCATGTTCAAAGAGTTCAAGCGTTGATGCCTTCAGATTACCAGTTAAGAGTGGATTTCTGCGAGACAATGCTGCGAAGACAACGAGAGGATCCCGATTTTTTTGATAAAATTTTATGGACTGACGAGTCACGTTTTGAAAGAACAGGGATATTCAATATCCATAATTTACATACTTGGGCTGTTGAAAACCCCCACCAGTCAAGGCCGTCGACATTTCAACACCGTTTTAGTGTGAACATGTGGTCAGGAATATTCAATATGGAATTTATCGGTCCATTTGAACTGCCGTCAAGGTTGGATTCGGTAGCCTACAAAAGCTTCCTTGAAAATAGCCTACCATTATTGCTGGAAGATTCAAGCCTGGAAGCCAGACGGAACATGGTGTTCCAGAATGATGGTGCACCATGCCACAACGCAACGATCGTGCGAAACTACTTAAACGAAAGGTTCCCAGACAGATGGATCGGACGAAACGTACCGATACGATGGCCTCCACGCTCCCCTGACCTCAACCCCATTGATTTTTTTGTTTGGGGATATTTTAATGACATAACATTCGCCCAAGAATGTGCAAATGAAAATTCATTGAGGAACAAAATTCAAGAAGCGACACATGTGTTGAAAAACAACACACAAGCATTTAGAGATTTAAAACAAAATTTCATACGTAGGTGTACACTGTGCATTTCTGTTAGAGGCAGACATTTTGAAAACCTCTTGTAAATAACATAAATGAATAATAATCTGCTGTTCAGTAAAAATCAAACGTGTTTTTGTGGTTTTTGCAAATTTTTTTTCCGAAACTAACAATTTCTATTGAGCAGAGGGTTATCCAATTTTGGGTTCGGTTCTATTTGAGCCACAATTACGGTAGCATGTAGTAAAGCTAGGTTGATGAAATTTTTACGGTAAATAGCTGATACCGTAAGGAAGTTTTTAAGATACTTACGAATAGTAAGAACATGTTTTTTCAATTTTTTATAAACGTTCAAAGTTGTTGCACTTTTTTACTTTTTTGTTATGTTCGAAGATTTTGAAAAAAATTAAAAAGTAGTATTAGTTACATGACTTGAATGATTATATGATAGTTAAGCCTTAGGTCTTAGCTACATAATCGTGAAAAAAGCAGGCATTTATCACAATTATTAACGAAGTTATGGTAAAAATAAACACAGAACTCAAAAATTCTCGAAAAATCCGAAAAAAAATCATAACTCCTAAACTAAACAAAATCGGACCATATATATGGGGGTGATTTGGGTTCCTCTCGATGTGGGGAATCTAATTTTTTTTTATGACGTCACGTGTTTGGCCACCCTGTATATATATATACCTATATATATATATATATATATATATATATATATATAACTTGAGACGTGGTCATTGTCGTCTAGACCAGTTAGGTGAAAAATTAAAGCTTCCGCCTTTTGTTGGGTACTTCGACAAAATTTAAGCAAAGAGGACTCTTTATACTTTTTTAATTCTCTCTAGCTTTCAATGGACTTTGCCATCATCATCAGGAGCTGCAATTACAATGATAACAGTAGCAACAAAAGTGTAAAATGAATTTAAATTGACTCAACTTACAGTAGTATGTGAGGATGTTGCTAATTGTTGTTTACGTATAGGATGAGGGAAACGTCCAGTAACATGGTGAGAGCTGGATAGATGGTACAATGGTCAAAATTATATAAAATATGACAAGAACAAGTTAAAAACAGAATAAAAATTATTTAAAAAACATTAGAGCATTACATCGTGAAGCCACTTGATGATTGCACAAAATGGTGGTCATGGAATAATGAGTGAGATGAACCCTTTGACAGAAGGCCGAAGGTTGTCAATGTCTGTGTTGAAAGATAGAACGAATTGTGGGCGTGTGCCAAACGTTGCCAAATCACTTCAGATGATGTGATTTTCAGAATGTTATGTAAGAAATTGTTAAACCGACCAGAGGCAGTTGAATAAGCTATATTTTAATTAATGGGAATTTAAATCAACAATTATTAATAAATCGTGAGAAGAGAATTATCATATTTTGAGTGGAATGAAATTTACTGGTGGAATCGGCCAAAACACAGATTCTATTTATGGTTGTGAAGAGTCGAAATTTGGGGAGATATGTAAGTTCTCCAATTTTTCGCAGGTTAGCAAATATGAGTAAATGACACTCAGTTGTTTAACAGATGTCTTTTTGTTGATACAGTTGTTATTCATGAAAATGTGGGACATTTCCAGGAATAAACGTTTGGAAAGGTGTTTTTCTTTATCAAGAACTTTGATACTTGTGTAATTCATAGAATGCCCTGTTGTGTTAACATGAGATGCTTCATCCTGAAAGATGCGCTCTAGCATCTCATGTTAACACAACAGGGCATTCTATGAATTACACAAGTATCAAAGTTCTTGATAAAGAAAAACACCTTTCCAAACGTTTATTCCTGGAAATTTCCCACATTTTCATGAATAACAACTGTATCAACAAAACAGTTAAACAACTGAATGTCATTTACTCATATTTGCTAAACTGCGAAAAATTGGAGAACTTACATATCTCCCCAAATTTCGACTCTTCACAACCATAAATAGAATCTGTGTTTTGGCCGATTCCACCAGTAAATTTCATTCCACTCAAAATCTAATAATTCTCTTCTCACGATTTATTAATAATTGTTCATTTAAATTCCCATTAATTAAAATATAGTTTATTCAACTGCCTCTGGTCGGTTTAACAATTTCTTACATAACATTCTGAAAATCACATCATCTGAAGTGATTTGGCAACGTTTGGCACACGCCCACAATTCGTTCCATCTTTCAACACAGACATTGACAACCTTCGGCCTTCTGTCAAAGGGTTCATCTCACTCATTATTCCATGACCACCATTTTGTGCAATCATCAAGTGGCTTCACGATGTAATGCTCTAATGTTTTTTAAATAATTTTTAATCTGTTTTTAACTTGTTCTTGTCATATTTTATATAATTTTGACCACTGTACCATCTATCCAGCTCTCACCATGTTACTGGACGTTTCCCTCATCCTATACGTAAACAACGATTAGCAACATCCTCACATACTACTGTAAGTTGAGTCAATTTAAATGCATTTTACACTTTTGTTGCTACTGTTATCATTGTAATTGCAGCTCCTGATGATGATGGCAAAGTCCATTGAAAGCTAGAGAGAATTAAAAAAGTATAAAGAGTCCTGTTTGCTTAAATTTTGTCGAAGTACCCAACAAAAGGCGGAAGCTTTAATTTTTCACCTATATATATATATACATATATCAAATAAAGACATTGAAACTGCAATAGCGCTGTTAAATGATGATATGAAAAACGTAATAAATTGGCTAAATGTAATTAAACTTAAACTAAACACAAACAAAACAAAATATATGCTAATAGGAAAATCTTTAGATCAAAATACGATAAATCTTACAATTAATCATGAAAAAATTGTGTCAATCGGATCATTTAAATATTTGGGCATATATGTAGACAGTAAATTAAAATTTGAAGGGCACTGTGAATATATTATTTCAAAAATATCCAAGAAAATAAATTACTTTTATAGAATTTCGCATAGCCTAAGCGTTTATTCTAAAAAAAATGTGTACAACACTGTCATTCTTCTTCATGTGTTATAGACTTTCATTTTCAAAACTGCAGTAGCAGTATAACGAGCAAGTCAGTATTTCAAAAGGGATTGAACGAATTTAATAAATTAAGTAATGATATCAATATGTCTGTCAGTTAGAAAATGTTCAAGGGGAAATTGAAAAATATCTCATGGAAAACCAGAACTCAAGAGTAGAGAAATTCTGTATAAAAATATGTAGTCTTGAAGACATAATATATGTCCATAATATTCATCGATATTATGGACATTGTAGCATTAATGATAAATAAATCTTAAACAAACAGCTTTGAACACTTACTGAAATAAAAAGTGATATGTTCGTGTGTTTTTGTTGTGCCGTGCCTCGACGTTTTTTTAATTAGTGGTGATCCTGTAGTCGTCCTACTGTACAGTAGAGTGCCCACCATCTCCCTGTTAACGCACGGTAGTCAAGTAAATTCATTATTTATTCCATGTTTGTTACAGAATAAGGATTCTGTAATTTTATTTATATCTTCAAAGAATTTATTAACCAGAATTTTGTACAGTAAAATGCTCAGTAATGGCGTCATGTAGATCCATAGTATCAGGTTTGATCCATGTTTCGAGTACGCCACAAAATCTTCTTTTTGATTGGTGGAATTTGCGTCAACTTTGTGTCTATACACAAATAGAAAACAGGTTTTTGTAGCTGAATCACATGATATATGAAGTATTTATTGATTTATAAATCGTATAATATTCTCTAGTTTGAATCATTTCAAATCCACCTTATCCATTAGATCCATTACTTATCATTAGTCCAATTTGTGTCAAAGATGCAAATTTTGTTCCCCTCCAGTTAATAGTAAAACCAGGCCTTAAGAACGTATGCCTGAGCTTACACAAACAAACATAGGTTCACGTACACTAAGGGCCGTATCGTACAGTCGTTCCTACACTTGTAGGACGCCTTTATGGCCTCCTTGATTTTCATCGTATTTACTCTCCGTCGAAAAGGCTGGGGTATTTCTAGATTTCTACTGTTCCATGTCAGCATCTTCGCTCTCGCATTGTGAGGCTATGTTTCCTTTTTGAATTGTAGGGCAGATATAACAGATGAAATAAATCAAGAGCATGAACAATTTGATGCAAATAGATATTTGTAACATAACCTCAAAACAGAGTACTGACAATGAACAGTAGAAAACTGTGAAAATCAAGGAGGCCATAAAGGCGCCCTCCAATTGTAGGAACAATTGACTATACGACCTTAAACCTACCTGTGTATCACTTTTATACATCTCCCCACACATACATATACAATAATTGTGCCCGAACATAATTTTTTATACACTGATGATAGCGTAGTTATATTTTTCCACAGCCAGACTGCATGTACTATTGGACACATGCAGAGATACCAGCATCAGTTCCCCAAACTCCTGGTAGGCTAAGTATGGTTTCATGGCCTCCTACGTCCCCGTCGTCAGAACAGTTCGCATCACCATGTGCTAAGGAAATTCTCTCCCCAGAAGAGGATAAACCAGCCAGGTGAGGAAAGATCATCCTGACGGTCAGTAACTCAGCAATATACAGGGCGTTTCAGTTTATTGTTGCATAACTTTAAGATTCGATAGAACTTTTAAAATTAATGCAAGTCTATATAAACATGGGTCGAAAAATGCGTGGCTTCCGAAATACAGGGTGTTTAAAATTACTTTCTAAAATAGTTTTTTTTAAATATTTCGAACAATATTTGATGTATAACAGTGAAAATTGGTATACAAGGGTTTTTTGGTACGACAAAACGAATCATGTGCATAGTTTTACTGTAGCCGCTAGACGGCGCCCTCTACTGTACCTGTAGTGTATTAAAGTGACCGAAATTTTTTTCTTAGTGCAATTTTTTGCTTTTTGAATAAAAAAAACTGATTCTTCGCACTTTTCAACATAAAAAAGGCCTCTTGTGAATTTTCGTTATAGTTAGCCGTTTTTGAGATATTTCGATCTTTAAGGTTCGATGCATTTTTAGTTATTTATGATTAAATAACGTTAAAAAGTCAGTATCTCGATAATTTTTAGAAGTAGGCTGTGACTGCAAATATTTTTGAAATTGAAAGCAGAATAAGGTTAAACGTCAATTAGTTGACAGTTAGTTTTGTTATCTGTTGAAACCTGAAACGTTTTTTTGCAATGGTGAATGCACGAAATTTAGTTTCTTTTACCTGTTTTTTTTTTGTAAGTTTTATAAAAATGCCATTTTTATTCTCCAATCAAGAGTTAGCGGATATTCATTTTGTGTATGGCTTTGAAAATGGAAACGCAGCAGAAGCAGCCAGAGAATACGCACGAAGATTTCCAAACAGACGACATCCAACTCGCTCAGTATTTGTAGTGCATCGGCAAATAATTGAAAATGTTCTTAGAAATGACCATAGACGTCCTTACCATTTGCAACCTGTGCAAGGACTACAGCCAGGGGACGGAGAACGAAGAATCACATTTTGTCAGTGGATTCTTGATAGAACTGATAATAATAGGGAGTTTTTAAGTAACGTTTTATGGACCGATGAGTCATGCTTCACTAGACGTGGAGTGGTAAATTTTCATAATCAACATATTTGGTCGCATGAAAATCCGCACGCAGTTCGGGAAAGAAATTTTCAGCATGAATTTAGTGTGAACGTGTGGATTGGTATCTACCGTAATCGACTATTTGGACCCTACCTTTTGCCTGCAAGGTTAAATGCTGCGACCTTCTTGGAATTTTTAAAGGCTGAACATGCAAATAAGTGGGATGATGTTATGTTAGATTTAAGAAGATTGGCCTAGTTCCAGCTTGATGGTTGCCCAGCGCATTATTCGAGAATAGTGGCTGGACGACGAAAATTATCCAGAAAGATGGATCGGCCGTGGAGGACCAGTCGCCTGGCCTCCACGATCCCCTGACCTAAATCCATTAGATTTCTTTGTGTGGGGATTTCTAAAAGAAAAAGTATACCAGACTCCCGTAACCACAAGAGACATGCTAATAGACAGAATCAGGAATGCATGTGATGAAATAAGGCCTTATTTGAATAATGCTATACCACGTTCGATCAGTCGTAGATGTGAATTGTGCATTGAACAATTGGGTTTACATTTCGAGCAACTACTTTAGATTTTGTATGTTTGTCCTAACTATCCAATAGCATTTTAGTTGTAAATAATTAATTTAATTTGTTAAAAATAATATTGGAAAATTAAACAAATTAATATTCTGTTTTCTTTTGTGTTTATTTGGAGTTAAGAATTATTGCTGTGTTTAAAAACACAATCTAAACGATCATCTTAATTACTTGTAATGCCTATATCGAAAATGTAAAAAAAAATATTATTATACCATAAATAATTAAAAATGCATCGAACCTTAAAAATCGAAATATCTCAAAAGCGGCTAACTATAACGAAAACTCACAAGAGAGCTTTTTTATGCAAAAAAGTGCGAGGAATCAGTTTTTTATTCAAAAAGCAAAAAATTGCACTAAGCAAAAATGTTTGCTCATTTTAATACACTACATTTATAGTAGAGAGCGCCCTCTAGCGGCTACAGTAAAACTATGCCCATGGTTCGTTTTGTCCTACCAAAAAACCCTTGTATGCCAATTTTCACTGTTATACATCAAATATTGTTCAAAACATTTAAAAAAAACTATTTTAGAAAGTAAATTTAAACACCCTGTATTTCGGAAGCCACGCATTTTTCGACCCATGTTTGTATAGACTTTATGCATTAATTTTAAAAGTTCTATCGAATCTTAAGGTTATGCAACAATAAACTGAAACACCCTGTATATAGACCTACGAAGCGGGTGTCATCTCTGGACTAGTGTCGCACATCCAGTGCAAGCCAATGATAATTAACGGTCAGGTCAAAGAGCTCGTAGGTTAACGTATTGTTTTGATAAAATTCGACATTATCCAACACAACACATTGACGAACAAGAAGCGCCTTGGCGCTCATCCGGTTTGAATGGATAGCCGAGTTCTACCAAAGAGCCTGCGCCCATCCTAACCGTGTCGGACCTCGTACCGCCAGAACTGGCCGATACTATCGCTCCTTTCTCCCTACAGTATCGAGATTGTCATGAAGAGGCTTTTCCCAGTTCCATGAACCTTAGGCAGTTTAAAAATCGACATTTTGCCTTCGAGTGCGATACAAGGATTTAGCGTTCATGAAATTTTTCAATACTATTTTTATAGTACTATTTCTCTTTAGCCTCAAACTAGACCTCGGTTTCGGCAATTACTTCTTCACCAGAGCTAAATTTCTTCCCAGCGAGCATTCTTTTGAGGTCTGCAAACAGGAAAAGTCACTGAGGTTCAAATCTGGAGAATGTGGTGGATAGGGAAGCAAATGATAACCTGACACATGCAATTAATTTCGTCATCGTATTCAATGATGCTTTGTCTTGATGGTACTTCTCTAACGTTGAGGCCGGTTTTTCGAGATTTCATACTTCAAACAGCAACGCTGTCAAATAATTGGTGTCGATGTCCATCAGCAAACCCAAATATTGTGAAGTGCGCTCAGTAATTGAGTTTTTGAATGCAAAAAAGTTCCTCCTACTTAAGTCCACCAGCAGTTTGTTGAATTACGGATGTTATTCTGCTATTCAAAACGCAACTGGACATTGGGCAATGTTATCACGTTTACTAGATCATCTGTCATACAGTCCTGAGCACCATCAGACTGTTTTTTCAAAACTTACTAAATTTATTGATGGAAAACGCTAGTAAAATGTTGACATGTTAAAAGAAACAGTTACTAACTGGTGTATGGCAAGAGCGGACGCAAACGATATTTGGGGCTGGTCATTTTTTAACCTCAGCCGAACTTCTAGAATTTATCCTATTATTGCTCCTTAAATCCATTGTGTTCAATCTGGTCAAGGCCAGCTTGAAAAAAAAACATGGAAATTGCTCAGGAAGCCAATATTTTATTATATGAGAACAAAATAAGTACGTAGGTAGCATTTTTAATTAACTAGTGTAATAATATTAAAGATTCACTTCATTGCTCTGTTAACCGACAAAAAATAAATAAAACATTCTGAGGGACCCCGAGACATGTCCCAGTCCATTCCACACAAAACAATGTCTTTGATTGCGAAAACGAACATGAGACCCAAAAATTTACATTATCGTATGGACGTTAGACAAGACAAAGAAGGATGTCTGTAGACCATCTATAGATCGTGTCTTAAGACCGTCTCCAGACTGCCTATAGACAAATTGCGCAACGGGGTCTACTAGTATCTAATAAGCTTAAGGATTAAGACTCTGACTGCGCATTAAACAAATCAGGTTAATGCTGCAAATACTGACACAATCAAGCACTTCTATTATATCAGCAGTATGAGGCATGTATTCCTCCATTCCGACGTGGATAATTTCGGTTATCGAAAAACAGACAGCCGACGCATCCGCGTCAGTGCAACAGACATTTCTCCAAGGAAAGGTAGAGCAGTCTCTGAGCCCCTCCCAGTCGGCATGTCCGTAATGCCAAATTTTGCGGCCTGTGCGAGTTTTTGCTGAAACAGCGGGTTCTGACCGAAACCTAACCTCCACAACACAGTGGCTGAGTTACCCAGGGGAGACAGGAACGCAGAGCTGTAAGGGACAGGATGCGTGGTCAGAGAGAGATCCAGCAGGATACTGGGAGGTGACGAGAAGCGGGGAAAGAAAGTAGGGCCTGTCGCCAGCTGGGTCAGCCCTTAACTGCACGACCTGCTGCATCGGTCTTGTTTGAGCCCAACCAAAGCAAATTATGGTCATTGAAATCACCGAGGAGAACTACCTCTGAAGCGGAGTGATTGATGTTCAGGAAGTCGATCTTGACGGCGAGGTATTCAACAAGGTCATCCCAGTTATGGTCCAAGGAGAGCGAAAGGCAGCAGATAGATTTGGGGGATGTTTTGGAGCTGAGGCGAAGCCACTGAATGTCCTTCCGGTCTGATTCTGGAGAAACATCTCTTCAGCAGGCAAGACTGATGCGGACAAACGCCAAAACTACCACGTTCTTTCTCAGATTGGAGTGCACCTCGTAATTTGGTAAGCTAAGATGGTTAATCGGTGCGGACTCTAATATTTTTGTCTCCGCCAAGAAAAGCATGGCGGGACGATTGGATTGCAAGTAGTGATGAACAGCATCACTGTTGCTGTTAATCCCGCAGATGTTCGTGAAACAAATTTTATCTTCGATCGTATCCACCCTCCAACCAGACATCCTGAGAATGGAGTGAGCTTACATCCGGAATTCGTAGTACTCGAGGGATCCATCATCATTAATTTGTTTGTTTTGGAAGACAACCGACTGCATAGCTTAGGTGTGGAAACAAGCGGACATTTATAAGACACCCTAAGAAAAGCTATAGGGTGGTACCGCCTCGGTCGACTGGTCCTTGCCTACCACCTTTCTTTTGCGTGTTAAGGATATTAAATAAACCTAAAGTGGCCCGTTGGCGGACTTACCGACACCCGGCAATCGGTACTGAGGTATTCCTTAACGCGTGTACAATCACTTGTACGGGAAGAAGTTGTATGCTGGATTGGATACAACAACTTCCGGAACTAGTATTTGCCACGGCCCCGCTCAGTGGGGGTTGGGGTTTTTGAAATTCAATATAGATGTTACAGTTACTTTTCAGACTTACATTGTCGAACTTAGATTTACGGCATAGTTGTTTTCTCAGTTTTCGAACCGGTGTTGATCGCATGAAATTTTAAAGGTATTATTATAGGTATGCTTAGTGAACAAGTTGGATCGGAGAGCTCAGAGAAATTTTCGTTTCATGTAATATATATATATATAAATATATATCGAAACACTACAGTTGGTTTTATTAAGAACTCAGGTATCCAAATAAGGCCATGATTTGGTTTTTAATAAAGCCACCCTCAAAATATAAAACAAGACTGTCGAATAAACAAAGTTATATTTCTAATTAACAACAATAAATATAATTCTTGAATCCTGATAGATTTCAAGTAAAAAAATCAACTTGTTTGAAAAAATAATTCTTGAAATCATCCAGAATCTTTGGTTGGTGGTGGATGGTGAGTATGCACCCTTCTTCATTTATATTGTAGATCCGATGGGACTGGATTGATTAAGTTTAGCTTAACCAGCATAGTTTCTAATTTTTTACAGTAGTCGTTTACAATGTACTTATTCACTTTTAAAATCTGAGCTTTCCTTTGGCGAATATTTTCATGTCTGTCCCAGTACAATTTCAACCATTTTCTACCTGCCATTCCACTGTTTTCATTAAATGTGTGACGATTTTTTTTGTCATTAACTTATATTTGAGTTTATCATACAATTCACGTTCAGAAATAAAATATCTCTGTCTCCATTATAAAACGATTCTCACTTTCTGATTCCGCGTTTTTTTTTCAGACCTCCCCAAGAGTTACGTACCTCAGCCAGAGATGTGGAGATACTGGGCCTAGAGGAGGAAGTGAAGCGGTTAAAGCAGGAAGTCGAAAAGTACAAAACCCTGATTGAGATTCAGACACTTACGACAAACGCCGTCATTGATTTTAGTTCGCCGGTTGAAGAGGCAAAAAGTTTTGATAAGAGCTGTGATAATTTAGGTAAACACACAATCCCCCGTGTTCACTGTACGCTTTAACAAATCAGACGAAAACTATCTGCAACGCCTATATTTGCAGAACATTGCTAATTATGAATATTCCTATTTGTTATCTAGGAATAAATATTAACTAGGAAGACAAAATGTATCCCAATTCGACAAACCTTTTGGGGTAGGTACTTTGGGTATTGAGCCCACTGTATTTTTATCTGCTTATCAGGTTTGTTATTTTATAATTTTCCCTTCACAATGATCTGTTGTTTTACCTCGGTACGTTTTTATTCCTATATAACAAAATACTGGAGTGTACAATTTACAATATAATCGACGGTATTTCATAAATGGGTTACAGTGAATTTAAAAAAAGAATGCTGAAGAGGAGAGAATGTCTTAATACTAGATAAATGAAGGCAATAGTTGAAAGTAAAAGAGAACCTGATAACTCCTCTACTTTAAAATACCGTGGGATAAGATCAAGGTAATAATAAGGCGAATAGGACATCAAAAGGAACAAAAAAATATATGGAAAAACATTCAATAAAAGTATTTTAAATTTACATATTGAGAGTAAAATGATTTCCATGCTGTATAAATAAGCTCAAACTGCCAAACGTGGTTTGCAATTGCAAAGCTGCTTGCCTATATTCATTCGGTTCATCTGTACGGGTTTGTTATTCGCTATAAAATGGAAAAAGCATATAATTGTCATTACTCTTTTGCATTATTCACTTAAAGGACTCCTCATAAAACATATGGAAAATGGATCCCAAACGATTTTTCTAAAGATTAAGTATAATATATTTCTCGCTTTTCTGAATTAAGGTTCTTCTCGGGCCAAAGTTTCCGAGATGTTTGCCTAATTTACAAAAATGGTGAATGTGTCGGCTCTAGGTCTCTGACCAAATACGCGGATAATGATTATACCAAAGTATTTTATTTAAAAACCTTTTAGGAAGGGGTGTTGGGACGTTCCATGCTGATCTTCGCACTGATCCTTACAAGATAAATTTAAGGACAATCTTATTTTCATAATGCATCAGGTAACCAAATAAGTTCGTCCGGTTGCTGTATATCGCACATTGCCATGGATGTTGTTGATCGATAGGATTTTTAATAATAATAATATCCAATAAAGACGTTATTATTAACGTCTTTATTGGATAACCCGGAGGGACATAAACAGCGAAGTTTAGCCAAGGCTACTCTTACACTTAACTGTTTATGTCGGTTACATCTGATGTTCAAAACATGAAAAAAAAATATATATAAGAACAATAAAAAAAAGAACACATATATACCTAAGTATAAAATACAAATAGACACAATCTATATCTGTAGCAGAAATGCGTATTTAATCAATAGCGAGCAACATGCTTTTAGTATGTATACGAAAACTTTCCAAAGACATCAATTTAATACTGCTGTCCAACTGATTATAAAATAGTGCTGCATTATATGTAAATCCTCGTTGGAATAATGCAGAAGCGTGTGGGGTGGTTCTGATACTATAACGATTCCTAACAGCCCTGTCATGCACTTCGTAATTAAATCTTAACTTAGCTCTTAGATATTCAGGCTTTGATGACAATATTATTTTATGAACTAAAACTAAGAATTTATGTTTAACCAAACTTGTTGCTGTATAATTTTTTCCAAAATTTTCGATAGCACCGGCAATAAACTAATGGGTCTAAGATGTTTAAGTTCAGTAGGTTTAGATATTTTTGACAGGTTGTTGACGCAAATTCCACGACAACGTGCCAAGAACTTTCAGAAATGTTCAGAGTGAGTCCTGAAACTGTTTGTTTGCATCTTCATCAGCTAGGAAAGACGTGGAAGTTAAGCAAATGGGTCCCACATGTACTGGCAAATGATAACAAATCAAGTCGTCTTACCTTTTGTTCAGCAATCATTTCACGCAACGCTAATGAACCATTTCTTGATCGGTTATTAACCTGCGACGAAAAATGGATCTTGTATTCGAATTCTAAGCATTCGTATCATTGGTTGTCGCCTACTGATTCGGTACCACGCACACCCAAGGCTTCCTTGCACCCAAACAAGGTTTTGTTGTGTGTTTGGTGGACATCAACTGGAATTGTCCATTATGAGTTTTTGGAAAGAAGTCAAACCATCACTGCTAACTTGTATTGTGATCAGCTTCAACGAGTACAAGCAGCACTCATCCAGAAACAACCTTCTTTAATAAATCGGAAGAAAGTGATAACGCCAAGCCTCATACCGCAAAAGTGACCAGAGAAAAGATTTCTGAGCTCGACTGGGAAACGTTACCGCAAAATTTTTTAACTCCGAATCCAGGGAGTTCTACAATAGCGGCATACAAAAATTGGTTTCACGTTGGCAAAAGGTCATTGAATGTGATGGTAATTACTTCGACGAATAGATAGTGTCTTATTTTTTCTAAATAAAAATTTATATTTTTCTACTAAAAACCGCATGAACTTATTTTGTTACCTGATATCTGGTACATTTTGTTCGAGAATTCAAAAAAAGTCGTGGTTGTTTAGTTGTCTTTCATTATAACCTTTGCAAGGGCAATTGAAGTCATGTTAATTTTGAAGGCGAATGAAAAAGGGGAAGGACATTAGTGTGAACATAGATTTAGGGTATTGTAGTTTATTGACTATTAATTTGACTTTTTTTGTTTGCGTCTGCTTCCGGCGGATCGAACGATTTGGCTAAACTTTTTGGATGGACAACTAACTCTAATCTCGTGGAGTTTGGACGCTAGATTATCTGAAATAATGCCCGTTAAGTATTTCATAAATAGCTAAATAGGTAGATCCGCATTATTTTTATAAACTTGAGTAGATGGAGATAAGATATCCACAGTCTGTAATTTGATGGGTTTCTAAAACGTTAGTAAATTCCTTGTGTGGGTATCTTCTACTTCATCTAACGCTAGACCGACGTTTGGCTCTGGCGCCGTGGCTAACAGCTGAAGCATTAGCACCTCCCATAAATAATAACTGAAGGACGGTATCTAAGTACTGTATTAGTAAAGGCGCAATTCCATTGTGGCAACTTTCGGGCAACATGTAGCATACGGCATTGACGCATGCGGCTCACTGTCTTTCCATAGAGGCAACACAAAGCGACAAAGATATCCACAGTCTTTAATTTGATGGGTTTCTAAAACGTTAGTAAATTCCTTGTGTGGGTATCTTCTACTTCATCTAACGCTAGACCGACGTTTGGCTCTGGCGCCGTGGCTAACAGCTGAAGCATTAGCACCTCCCATAAATAATAACTGAAGGACGGTATCTAAGTACTGTATTAGTAAAGGCGCAATTCCATTGAGGCAACTTGTGGGCAACATTTAGCATACGGCAATGACGCATGCGGCACACTGTCTTTCCATAGAGGCAACACAAAGCGACAAAAAAATGTATCCTTGCCGCATGCCACAATTGTTCCGTTGTTGCCTCTCAAGGGCGCCGTCAGCGACACGAATCCACGTGTTGATCAGTGTCGCCGGCTATCCAAACCCGTTCGGATCGGTGCGGCTTGTAGCAGGCGACAAAATGGAGTATGCCAATGAAGAAACATTATCTTTAATTGAAGATTACCATAATTCGGATGAATTATGGAATAACAAAGATATAAAGATGCACGTCTATAGCAGGTAAAAATAGTTGGTGGCTACGGCCATTTGCTAGCGTACAGTACCTTTTTTTTTATACTCCAACTACCACGAAGGCCTAAGGCCTAATCACCCATTGGGTACCGTGGAGCTACAGGGGGATACAGGGGAAAGGGGGAACGCCACACGGACTCTGGCGAGGGAACACGTGTGCATGCAACATGCACACATTCTGGCTCCGCCTACGAGTTCCGCCGGGTGGTATCTCCACGTTCAACAGTCAGAGACCGTCTACCACCTACGGACAATCACAACATCCATAGCCAAGAGAAAAATTTCTCCTGGGTCGGGACTCGAACCCGCACAGCGCACGGCGACTGATCAGGAGACCGAAGAGTCTACTACTGCGGCCACCGCTGCTATCTTCAGTCTTTTAGACTTATACGATTGTTTGCTTCTTGTCTAGCTGTCTCCTTGACTTACCAGTAGTAGACGAGCAGACCTATACCGCACTGACGAGGGCTAATGAGCCCGGAACAGTACTGGCTGCGGTTGGTTATGGTTTCAAGGGGACATGGAGGAAACTTGTCATTTTCTTTCAATAGTTGGCTTATTTATTAACGGTTGATTTCTTTAGGAAAATATAACTGTTCGGTATTGGAAATTGCATCATCGTCAGCCACCAAGTTGTTCTACAAATTGTATTGAATTTCTTGACCATCTACGTACATATACAGGGTGACTTCGAAGTTGAGTCATTTATTTTAACAGTGAGTAGATCTGATCAAAAGAAATGTTTTTTTCCTTTAACATTTTTCTGGTAAAATTAAAGTAACAAAGTTATAGCCCTTTAGAAGTTTGAGTACCGCCCTGTCTCAATAATAATATTATGTGCTCGTGTTTGGCAACAACGGATATAATCCGCCTTATCGGTTCATCGCATCGGAAACAAAAAAGCGAAAGAATTTGAAACGCTGATCACGATGTTTTTATTCAGTCAATATATCAGTCGGTAACGCGTGAGTGAATAGTGGTGTTTGCTGCGTGGCTCAAACGAAATAAAAAATTGCACATGTTTATGCGGATCGGTTTCCCAATCGAGTGCAACCAACCCCTTGTACCTTTGTTAATGTAGTACAACGGGCTCGTGTATCAGGTGACTTAAGACCTCACAGGGGAGGGCATGCCGGTGCTCCAAGACCTCACGATCAAATACAGGTCCGCACTGAAATACTTGTCGAGAGGATACTTTATAAAACAAGGTAAACGTTTTTTTTTATTTTTTTTTATTGTTACACACATATTTTGGTTTATCTTCCTTCTACAATCATTATCTGAAAATTAATGACTCAACCTCAAAGTCACCCTGTTTATTTCCTCTCCAATATTCTGGCGTTTTTCTTTTTCTTTTCCGATCCGAAGAAATTACTAAATAAGCAGCTGCCGCAACTGTCTGTAATGACATGACGTACTAAACTGGAGTTGCTTGAATTGAATTGTGAAGACGCATGCTACGCTCGTGTACGACAAAGCGCATGCCACACAGGGGAACAAAATCCGCATGCGGCATTAATAGAATTTTGGGCAACACTGTCGAACGTCAACAAGAGGCAACACTAGGAAACAAGTAGCATGCCAAATGTCGTTCATTGTTGCCTCAGTGGAATTGCGCCTTAAGAGCACCAGCTATCTTATAAGGGTCTCCTAGATTCGGTATATGCTTGATTTGAACAGTTATCTCGAGAAACTTGAAAATCACCGTTTTTGCAAATCGGAAAACTTCATCCCCTATTTCTCAGAATTATAGGATTGCCGCTGAATTTTTAGGCAAATCGACTGGGACCCATTTTCCATACGTTTTGTGCGGGGTCCTTTAGCATAAACCAAACTAACCGACCAAAATTAATCATCAAAATGTTAAATAGATACGGTCAGCAAAGAAAAATCTTTCTGGCATGGATGACAACTATTACTAGACGCAGACTAATCTCCAGTACGTAAGTGGGTAACAGTGGACCGATATTTTCGTTCTCTTCTTGGAAATACTCTAATAAATTTAGCATTAGCTGGCGTAACGGCAAAGTTTTCCAGACGGAGACACAGAACTAAAAAACGTATGTCTTTGAGTTTACCGAACAACCGTTCACACACAGGGGTAGGTTGCATGTGTATGTATGAGGAGATGGATATAGAGGGTGTTCCTTAATGATATGCAAATATTTAAGAGTGTGAATCTACATGAAAAATTAATGTTAGTTTGCTTTATAAAGTATGGTCCAAAAATGTTTCCTTACAAAAACTCGTGGTGTTGAAGTTTTAGGAAAAAAATGGAAATTAATTAATATTTTCAGAACCGCTTCAGATATTTCACTGATATTTAGTACGTAGTGAAAGTTAATAAAGTTCCATATTTTTCAATGAAAGAATAATTTTTAGCTTTCACAGTGGCGTGCGTACGGGTATTGACTTCAATATTTTTTAAGAAAAAAATGGTACTCCAATGGTTTTTTGCCAAATAAAAATTATTTTTGAATTTCCCGTTCAATTTAAAACAAATGATCTTCCATGAATTGTTTTGTTTCGATGCGCCATTTTTGAGTAAAAAAATAAAAACCGTTCTATTGTCTAACTTGCAAAATTATTATCAATTTAACTAGAAAAATTAAACATTATGGGTAATGAACAACAACTGACAACATAAATATAACATTAAAACTAACGAAATGATTACAAAAATTGTTGAAAATGGCCCCCTTCACTTAGGATGCATGCTTCCGCCCTCCTTCTCATGGAATTGCGCACTCGTTAATATCCCTGGAGTGTTTTGTATTCCATCACAAGCTGCAACTATTCTCTTAATTCTCTTAATTTCTCTACAGTGTTAATGGGACTTGTGTACACTAGTGTCTTAAGATAGCCCCACAAAAAGACATCTAAACTGTTGAGGTCTGGGGACCTTGGTGGCACTTCTTGGGGCCCACCGCGGCCAATCCAACGATTTGGATAAGCAGTTTGTAAATAATTACGAACCGCTACACTGAAATGCGCTGGTGCACCATCATGCATGTACCACATGTTGTTTATTATTACTAACGGAATATCATCAAGCAGCAAAGGCAACTGTTGTTGAAGAAAATTGAGGTAAGTCTGACCGTCAAGTCGTCCCGGCAAGAAGAATGGGCCAATAAAGTGGTTGTAAATAATTCCTGCCCATACGTTAACCGAAAATTGGTGTTGAAAATAGGTTTCCGTTACGGCATAGGGATTTTCTTCTGCCCACAAATTATTATTGTGGAAATTCTGAATGGCACTTCGAGATAAATTAGCTTCGTCCATGAACAGAATCATTGATTCAGATTGCGGATTTTTCTTGGAAAATCAGTGGGAAGTAATGCCTGTACTCTTAAAATATGGTAAGAATATAACAAAAAATCCACTAAAATTCTCCAAAAAATTTGATGGCAAATATTTAAGTGTCTAGCGATCTTCCTCGTACTCGTTTCAGGATATTCGTCGACTTCGTGCAGCAGTGCTTTCTCAATTTCAGGTATTCTCACACTTAGAGGACTACCTTCAGATGTTTTTTTTCGGACAGAACCAGTTACAATAAGACGACGATGAATATTAGAAAAGGTTCAACTATCTGGCAAAGCACGATCGGGATATCTCTGGTGATAAATCCGTCTGTCTTGCTCACCATTACCGTCAGCAAGCCCATATACGTCATGCATTTCCGCCATTTCTGCATTTGAATAATTCACCATTATTAACAAGATTGTAAAAACTAAATAATGAAAAATATGTCACAGATTTGAATAACAGAGACTTGTCAGATGTCAAAAGCCAGTGACATTTTCCAGAGCAACTAGATATTTGCATTCTTCAATTATTACATTGATTTTCTCGGACAACAGAGTGGTTTTAATTTTTTTACTCAAAAATGGCGCATCGAAGGAAAACAATTCAAGAGAGATCATTTGTTTTAAATTGAACGGACAATTCAAAAATAATTTTTATTTGGCAAAAAACCGTTGGCGTACCGTTTTTTCTCAAAAAATATCGAAATCGAAACCCGTACGCACGCCACTGTTAAAGCTAAGAATTATTTTTGCGTTGAAAAATATGCAACTTTATTAACACTGACTACGTACTAAATATCATACTAAAAATTAATTGATTTCCATTTTTTTTTCCTAAAACTTCAACACCCCGAGCTTTTGTAAGGAAACATTTTTGGACCATAGGTTATAAAGCAAACTAGCATTAATTTTTCATGCAGATTCACGCCCTTAAATATTCGCATATCATTAAGGAACACCCTATATATAAAGGGATACTGGTAGTCTTACTTTGACCCGCCAAGGACGGTGACTACAACTATATTTAGCTCGTATGTCTAAATGAAAGGGCTCTACAGGAGAATCAGAAACTGAATCCGATCATATTAGTATACATTTACAACACAGCTGTTTACAAAGTATCGTGGAGAAATTTTCGATAAGCTACATCACTGCACGACTTGCATTAATCTTTCATGCTTACGAATTTCCACCTCAGAACAATTCACATTCATACTTTTCGCGGCGAGTTCTTTAAGTGATTTAGGCATACTGCTGTTGTGCCATCTCTTCATAGATGGCGTTCGGGGCGTGTGAAATACCTGAGATGCTACTGACGTATTTTTTATGCAATAAAAGTGCGGGGCAAGCCCTGTGGCATCTTTCGGTCTAATTTTGACAAACTCTCATTTTTTCTAGACAATAAGGTAAGCGATGGAATAGATACGAAACAAGCACAATGCAACGTAGAAGCACAAACCGATAAGCGCAATGTACAGACGGCATCAACGCAAACGGAAGATACATCGCAAGCACAAGGGGTGGAAGCTGACAGTTTGGACTGGAGAGGACCGTTGCAGGTAGCAATCACCAATATTCTTGAGGAAGTTGGAATTTTCCTTGTACTTCGTTTGAAATATCAAAGCCTAAAAAACCGAACACAGTAAAACAACAGCGAAACAAGTAAATTAAATCGCGACAAGAGGTTGACTCTGCACTTCATTCGCAACGCTATCGCTAGTGCATAAAGAATTATGTTCGGACCAAATTAGTCCCTTTGAGTTGGCTACAAACAAATATATAACAGAAAAATTGAATGGGTTAAGTCAGCTAAGCAGGCTCATCATATGCAATTAGTCCGCAGCCCCCAACAATTTGAAAACGCTGACGCTAGTTTCTTCCCTAACCTAAGTATCGACCATCTGGCAACGCTGCTGAACCACACCAGTCACGCATGTCATAAGCGCTCGCCACGATGCCATATGTCGAGATCGAGGCTCCGGCGATTTTTGTGCCGGCGATGCAGTTAGACGCGGACGAAGTTCGGCGTATGAGTCGCTGTCGCTGTAAATATTTTTTCAAGTTTCAAGGTTAAATGTACGGAGAAGCCTTTAATATGTGAAATATGTACTGATAGGTGCGTGAAATTACTGAGATATAAAGTGTATAAATATACTGCCGCCTAAAAGTTGAGATATACAATCCTTCACCCCCTCTAACTACTAACCTCCGAATTTCAACCCTTACAAAAAGAACCAGGCAGTTTCCTTATCGAGAATGGCTTTCGGCTTAATTTATTGAAACCTCGCGTAGAGGTAGTTTTCGACATGGCAATTAAAAGTCCAAATGGGGCCAACTCCCTAACCCCCATCTTTTGCCCCCTAGGGAACCCAGAAATCCCCCAGTGGGGGTTACTAATAGATATGGGAGGAGAACGTGAATCTTTAAAGATTATTGTTAGAGGAGAAGAACTTAATATTGCTAAGACTTTTTCCAGGCGGACCAATAGTGATCATGAATTTGGCATTGACAGTGTCGAAGCTCAGATCAATTTTTAAAAGTCGTGTATCTTACTTTTCGCCATGAAAATGAACAATGCGGAACATTTCGTAAACGCAACATTTGAAGGTGATGGTTAGGAAACTCACAGATACTTTTCAGGACCTAAACAGTCTGTGCGACTCGTTAAAGTAAAATCTACTACCGCTCAGTCAATCAAAATCAGCCACGTCACTACCAAATAGAATGTCTCACTTAAAAAGTTGACTTGACCTTGACCATAACATTCAGTGTCACGGACACGGTCAAATCCATGTTCACGATTGACCAGTCTGGAATAACTCTTAATAACAGTTCGTGTTAATTCTCCTTTATCAACATTACATTTTACAATAATTATTTATTAATACGCCCGCTTCTGGGTTCTATAGGATGTCGAGGAGAGGTTTCCTGATCATGACCTTCAAAAAATGCTCAAGGACTACATGGAAGTAGATGTTTCGCTTTGTCCATTTTCCTGGTGAACAGTAGGATGTACGACTTTTAAAAATTCACCTAAACTAAGACGATAACCTTCATGGTCACTCTAAAGGTCAAATCCATGATCACCATTTTCCAGTCTTGATCCTGAGTCCTTAGTATGTCCGATAGTACGTTTTACTTCTTCCCTGATAATATTACTTCAAGATTTATGTTGTCCTCCCATATCTATCAATAACCTCTACTTCCGGCTGTCCGGGTTAAAGGGATAAAGGACGGGTGTCAGAGGGTTGGCCTCATTGGGACTTTGACTCGTCATGTTGAAAACTTTATGCGAAATTTCAACAAATTTAACCGAAATTCATTTTGCATAAGGAAACTGTCTGGTACGTTTTCTGAAAATTATCAAGTGCCTCCAACACGTCAAAAAACGGATTTTGAGAGGTTTTTTATTTTTTTGTTCGTGTTTTTTTTTTGCTCCCAGCTCCGCGGCCACTGGATCGATTTACAAAAACTACAAAGTTTTTTCGTCCTTGGTGTAGTAGTAACCCTTTGTGGAAATTTCATCGAAATCCAAAAGGTACTTTAAAATATACAGGGTGTTTCACAACATATCCGACAAATTTTAACCATATATGCACTGTTACAAAAGAAGTTGATTTCTCAAAAAAATGTAATAGAAGTCCTACAGAAATCGAGAGAATAAAATAAAATGTAATATGCGCCACGCTGTTGCATGTGACACTTCTGGGACCTTATGCTTATTCCCGGATTTTCTTCTACAATAACCAAAATTTCGTCTTCTGCATTTAAAATGCGTTGTGGGCGAACCCGACCCCCATCCACTCCACGTCTGGAGCGCAAACCTCCACTAGCATGTGCACGTAAAACAATTGAACTAAATGTTCCGTAATGTGATATGTGCCTATTCGGAAATCGGTGTGCATACAAACGAGAAGCCGCTCGCGAATTTTGCCCTGCTTCTCCGTACGCTAAAGCAATGTCTACCAACTCCTCATTAGTGTACACATGTGCCATTTTTATTAATGAATAACTAAAAACATAAACTCGCAAAATACTTTCTTATTTAACTTCACAAAAATCGACCGTTCTTCATTCAGATCACCCTCGATACAGATTAAACCTTATTTACACATATTAGTATGAAAAAACAAAAAATTCCTGGTATTTTGTTATCGTCATTTGTTTGGTATATCATTTGCTACAATAAATTATTAATGCGTCTTCTAATATCACGACGATGAACGTCAAATTCAGATATTTGTATTTCAATTTATTATTGAAACTCAGGTTTGTAACTTAATTTCTGTAGGACTTTTATTAATTTTTTTTTAAATCGACTTCTTTCGTAAGAGTTAAAATTTGTCGGGTAAGTTGTGAAACCCTGTCTGTATAGGCGGCATAACAATTAGCGGACAAACCGACAGACATGGTATTTCGTGATCATCTAACAGCTGTCGTTTTCGAAATCTGCTGAAGCGTTTGATGTTTTTGTGTGGCAAATCTCGAACGCGAGGTTCTAGAACACCCCCTCTGCCCTTCTACTATGCCAACCTCGACAAATTGGCCTTTGTAGGATATGAACAGATCTATACGCGGCACAAGATGCTAAACGCCCAGGAAAATGATATATGTAAATGTACTCGTGAAGCATATGTAGCAACTTGAACCACCGCAAGCTAATTTCAAATCGACAGGTTTGTTATTTCTACAGGAACGTGCCATATTAAGTTTCGTTCAAATCCTGTTTATAGACAAACAGCTCAGGATCACTTACATGGCCGGCAGCGCCTGGGTTGGATACTGATGCAAGTCGTATCTAAAAACCTAACCCTAATTTAAATTCGCAGATTTTTACAAAAAACGATACTTCAAGCTAGAAATTCTTGTGATTCGGTCAACTTAAATCATTTATTGATGATACGATGTTTTGGAGACTTCAAACGCCATCTTCTGGTACATGTGACTTTCTCGAATAGTCGGTAAAAATAATTACGTTTTAACATTCTCAAGAATTTTTTACTTGAATCAACGATAAGGAATACAAAACTTCAAAAACAATACGCTATGTGAAGGAAACGCCCAACTTCACAAATGTACTTCAAAAGCTTGATTTTTTTGTTTGTTTGTTTGTTTGAGATTTGTTTTGCATGATTGCTACAATTACATTCTTTTAAACAACACTACAACAATTACATAGCATACAGATATTCAGAAAAAAAAATTTGCATCTCTAAGAATTTTCATTGTCCATGAAATATTCATTTAATTTTCTTTTAAATATATTTAAATAACAAGTAGATTTTATATCATTATTTAGTTTATTAAATTCAAGTAATCCTTTCTGAAATATTGATTTGCTAGTTATATTGCTATTGCAATTTTGTAAATGAAAATCTATATTTCCTCTTGTATAATAATTGTGGTAATGATTATTCAATTCTATGTAGTGTTCTAAATGTTCTGGCAAAAGATGATTTATATTTTAAATATAAAAGTAGGAACCAAATATATGTAATTTTTTATATTCAACCACAGCAATTCTGGTAACATATATTTTATTTTGGTGTACTTATTTTTATTCAATATTATTCTCATAGCTTTATTTTGCAAGACTTGTAATTTTGAGAATACAGCTTCATTGACAGTGAACAAGATAGTTGAACAATATAGTAAATGCGGTGGAGTACTTGTATTATAAACTATTTTCTTGGAATAGGTACCAAGACTATGAGAAGCCCTATAAAAGTAATTTGTTTTTCTGGCAATTTTTGAAATGATGTATTCATAGTGATCCTCAAACTTTAGTTTACTGTCAATATACATACCTAAATATTTAATTAAATCAACATTTTCAATTATTTCTCCATTTAGCCTAACTGTAATAGTAGTTTCATTTAGGTATTTCCCTATTAGCATACATTTTGTTTTAGAAGTATTCAATTTTAGTTTATTTACATTTAACCAATTTACGGTTTTTGCCAAGTCAGAATTTACCATTTTTGAAGCAGTGTCTATATTTTCATCTGATATGTATAGTAATGTATCATTTGCAAATATTTTAAGTTCACAATAATCTAAAATATTACAAATGTCATTAATGTATAAAATAAATAGTAGTGGACCTAGTTTACTACCTTGTGGTATACCAACAGAAATATTTTTTGATCTTGATAATGTAGATACAATTTTGGTTTTTTGACTTCTGTCAATTAAATAGCTTTATAGAATTTTTGAATACAGATCCTTTAAATCCGTAGTGATGCAATTTTGTAAGTAATTTATCCCTGTCAATAGTCTCAAACGCCCTTTTGAAGTCCAAAAACACTATTACTGTATGTTTCAGATTGTCCATACATCTCCTCAGGTCCTCCAAAACTATTTGTGTTGCCGTTTCAGTTGAGTGTTTCGTCCTGAATCCAGCTTGAAATTTGATTAAAATGTTATTTTTCTCAATAAATTCGATGATCTGTTCGTAAATAATTTCTTCAAAAACTGATTCAACATCTGGCAGGACATTTATTGGTCGCAAATTCATGTACAACTCAGAATTCTTAACTTTAGAAACAGGAGTTATGGTAGAACACGTCAGTTTTGTTGCAAATTCGCCATACTTTTAACAGTAATCTATCAGGATTAATATTATTGCTCCAATAATATCAAAACATTCATTAAGCACACTTTTAGACAAAATCGCACTCATATTTTGATTGGATTTTATTTTTGATATAATCTTCTTGAGACGATTAATGTTTATTGTTCTAAACTCACTGAATGATGCATTATAATCTGAGCTAATGGGAAATTGGTTGGGATCCCCGTCAATAATTGATTTTACAATGTCGTTGTCACTTTCTATGAAACAGGTATTCATTGCCTCTGCTATTATTTCTTCATTTGTTATTACCCCATCGTCGAATTTCATTTTTGATAATTTATTTTTTCTAATAGGAGAAACAATGTTTTTCAATGTTTTCCACATATGTTTACTATTATTTTTACTCTGATCAGTTTTGGCATTGTAATATTTTGTCTTTTCTTGATCTTGTGTATTCTAGCCAAGCACTTTCACTTCCAGTAATCATAATTTTTTTATAATTGTAGTCTCTTTTTAATTTAGAATCCTTGAACGACTGAGAGAACCAAGGTGTTGGAATTTTTCTTTTACAAATTGTTCTCTTGACTATAGCTTCTTTTATGCAAAATTCAACATTATCCGATAGGCTTGTATAGTAGCTATCAACATCAACAAACGCTTCAGTTATATCTTGCAGTAAAACACCTTCTCGTAATTTTACGTAGTTAATATTAGTCATTTCCTCCAAAACTCATCTAACTACTTGACTTAATGTTTTCCTAATTGCAGGGAGTTGGAGATGTCAAGCAACACGTTACGTCATCGTCCACAGTACCCCCTCCACCACCTCTCCCTCCGACTTCTACGATATTGGAAGGGATATGGGTACAGCCCCCCGCGATATCGGATGGAGTATGGGTACCGCCTCCAAAGCCCCTTGAGGAAGGAACCTACCCGTCAGCAGGTTAGTCACTCAATCAATCAAAATGCATTTATTTTGTATGCTCAACATTACAAAGTTATTTTATTTATCAAAAAAATTTACAAAACGTAGCGGCTCAAGGCCGTCTGCATAGTGCCCATCTGCTTCTTCGCCAAAGTCAGTTTTCATTGAGCTATCCGAAGGGGAGAAATATTAATTTCTTTGTGTACGATATCTGAGAGGAGTGATCTCATTGTATTTGTGTGAGCATCCAATGGATCAGATGTACCTTGCCTGCGTGGTAGTGAGAGAAATTCCACTTTCAGTCATTATGGAGGGTTGCAAGACTTTGTTGTCCTCTCCTTTGATACCCTTTCTGCTGAAGGGTTAAGTAGACAGGTAGGTCTGTGATGGGTTGTTGCTGTAGCTTCACTAGAATTTTATGTTGCAATTTTGCTAACCTGATTTGGTAAGGATCCTTGCCGAGCATTTCCTAAAGTTCTTTCGATGGGAGACAACGCGGAAACCTCCCTGCAACCTTATAGGCGTACTTCAAACAGGCTTGGAGTGAATTCAAGTTACACAGTTCCATAATCCAAAATAGGAACAATGCACGAGGCAATTACTCGCATCTTCACATCAACGTCGACATTTAATTTCCATCCAATTATGGGATCCAATACGTTCCGACTATTGTACTGTATTGTCAAATACCAGTTACTTATGTTTGCGTGCTGGAACTTACAGCTACAGCTTCCTTAGAGTTGACAAATGCGCATTCTGCCGCTATATTTTTAACGAAAATATTGGTAGTCGTAATCATCTCCTCGGTTATTATACATAAAACAAATGAAAAATTTATTTTATAGGTACGACTAGACCTCCACACCCTCCATCACCTGAGGTAACACAACATTCACCTACATCGACAGCTGGAGGAGGTACTTGCTCACAACCACCACCACCACCGCCTCCTCCTCCAATGCCTGGAGCGTCAGCTCCTCCAGCACCACCACCACCTCCAATGCCTGGAGGAGGACCATGTCCACCTCCACCACCCCCTATGCCTGGAATGTCAGCCCCTCCACCTCCTCCAATGCCTGGAGGAGCCTGTCCACCTCCTCCTCCTATGCCTGGAGGAGGAGCTTGTCCTCCACCACCTCCAATGCCTGGGATGCCAGGACCTCCTCCACCTCCTTTACCAGGAATGTCCGGACCTCCTCCACCTCCCATTCCCCCTGGACACGGAGGACCGCCTCCCCCTCCACCACCTGGAGGACCAACACCGCTCCCAGCGCCCCCTTCTGGTGGATGGGCGCAACAGAAGTCAGGTAAGAGGAAACTTTCCGATAATTGCGTTTTCCGTTTTGTGTTTGAAGCGTTCTTAGGACTTTTAGCACTAGCCGAATGTTACTATATGTCTTGTTCAGTTTGACTTGTTGTTCATCATCATCATCAATACTATGGAGTCTATATACCAGGAGAAGCTACGGCAATGCTGTTCGTGCTGTAAAACGACCCGGAAACTGGACGGCTCGAGTAGCAGTGGTGCTTTGACAGGGTTGCCATGTTCGGTGATTTTTTCCTAAAATTTGAGGGATTTTACTTGGGGAATCTTTTGGCAGTATAATATTCCCTTTGAATCAAACCTACTCCTTTTCATTAACTAAATGTTATATGCGGGATTTTTTTTTTTGAAAGTGGCAATTCTGAGGGATTTTTATGCTTATTCTGGGTAAATTCTCTCCGACCCATCTGGCAACGATGTACTTTGACAAGTCCGACATATGAACACCAGCAAACGGATTGCCATTAAGTTTACTGCAAATTAACTCAACAATTTTTGCCTAAATTTTTTGTAAATCCTTGAAATAAATAGTCGGAAGTCTGTTGAAAATTGCTGTTATTCTGTTGTTTGTGAAGAACTGTTGGAAAAACTCCCTTTGTGCGGTGATGAATTGTTTAATGAGGGCGAACGGTAACATGATCGTTGTTTGGCATTCCTGCTATCCTCCAAAATGGTAGGGAAAAACTCAATCTTTTGTACAAAATCCGACAAGTCATTGAAGTTAGAAAGAAGTATAACCAACACATGCAAGAATTTGTTCAACGTGTTTTAGGAAAAGGTATTGAGTGTGATGTAGAACTATGAATAAAGAAGCTATTTTTAAGTCCTGTAAGTTGCCACCCAGCTTATTAGAATTTACCCTGCGCATTCGCAGTAGCTGGTACTCACTCACCCTCAGTAAGGCGTCAAGATTTGGGATCGTTCCTTCTCATTTACCCGATTCTCCTGGTATTAAGTTTCCATGATCAGAACATACTTTATCAACAATTTTTGTCAGTCTTCTCATTAATTATTATTATTATTGTCATAGCAATCATCCATGACAACAGCAGGATGATGCGAAAATAGATTGATTCCTTAATAAACGTGACATTTGATGGATCGGAATTGTAAGAAACTGATCGATCCCAATGTTTGAGCGTGTCTGTTGCCTTTAACATAGTGGTTATCTGTTTTGTTGGGTACAACTATGGACGAATAAACGTAACTACACAAAATTCGAGAAAGGCGGTTTTTGATAAAGTATACCCTCATCTTGTATTGGATAAAGCTATATAGTCTAATCATATTAGCAAATTTCCCCGAAATAAGTCTGGTTCTATTGTGTTGTTCAAGGGGTATTTAAAAGATGGACGCATAAAATGGGTACACCAGTTTTTGTGGGAAAACTTTTGCCGATATGAATCACAAACCTTTCCGAAATATACTAAGTGACATATAAATCCAAACACCCAGTTTAAATGGTTTTATTTTAATAAAAGTTTGTGAATGTATTTATCTTACTGTAAATAACAAGTGAAAAAATTTTCAGCCTTATCAGTTGGACATTCTGGTTTTTATACTGCTTTTTTTTAATTCACTAACGCTGTAAAAATGAATATTTCAGCCGCAGTAAAGAATCAACGTTGGCGGATTTTGGTTCTTGACATCCTTTACGATCGGTTACGATGCCTAGAGTACGGAGACCTGTACGATTTCGTCAACTTAGTGAGTTTGATAGGGGCCGTATAGTGGGACTCCGGGAAGCTGGACTTTCTTTTCGGGCAATTGCAGTTAGAGTGCAAAGAAGTGTAGACACTGTGGTTAGGTGTTGTCAGGCATGGCTTCGAGAAGGCCGTACGCAAAGAGCAAGGGGCACTGGACGCCGCCGTAGAACAACAGACCGTGAAGATCGCCGCCTAAGATAATTGGCCTTAAGGGACCGTTTCTCCACTACCAGGTCCATTGCAAATGTATGGTTTGCAGAACACGGAAGATCTATTGGCATGCGAAGTGTTTACCGACGAATGAGAAGTTTTGGCTTGTTTTCATACCGGCCACACTGGGTCCTCCCTTTAACTCGAGAACACCGACGTAATCGCCTTGAGTGGTGCAGACAACGGTCACTCTGGGATCAGGAATGGAACAGTATTGTCTTTAGTGACGAGTTTCGATTTTGTTTAGGCATGCACGATGGTCGTGCCAGGGTTAGAAGGCGACGTGGTGGAAGGAGGAATCGACAGTTGTTTGTTGAAAGACATGTTCATCACACTGTTGGAGTTATGGTTTGGGGTGCTATAGCTTATGGTTCCAGGTCACCTTTAATCTTCATCAGAGGTAACATGAACGCGCAGCGTTATATCCACGGAGTTCTAGAATCCCATCTTTTACCCTATCTTGACACCCTGGCAGATCCAACTTTCCAACAAGATAATGCCCGACCACATGTTGCAAGAGTCACAATAGACTTCTTTCAACATAATGATGCCACATTGTTACCATGGCCACCAAGATCTCCCGACTTATCCCCAATTGAGCACGTGTGGGATATGATGGGTAGGAGATTGCTCAATTTGCAACGTCTCCTCAGACTCTAAGAAGCACTTCGAGAGGAGTTGGTGGTTGCCTGGAATGAGATACCACAGGAGGACATTGACCACCTGATCAGAAGCATGCCTTTTCGCGTTGGAGAATGCGTAGCACATCAGGGTGCATCCACACATTATTAAAGGTCAAAGGGCTTTAAAGCAGTGCAATCATTTTGAAATTTTTATCATTTACTTATTATGCTTCATTAAGTACTTATACAAAATTTTATTAAAATATAACCATTTAAACTGGGTGTTCGGATTTATATGTCACTTAGTATAATAAATAAATGTTATTAGGGTCTTTTTCTTTCAAACAAATTCAAATATTTCGTATTGTCAGTAACTGAACAAATGCGCTACCTATATTCGAAAAAACATACATTACTATACACATGTTAAAACAAAACGGATGTGTCTATCATCGTCTGTTGTGAATTACTCACAAATACGAAATTTATGCTCGGTTTTCGGCCATAACTTTGTTGCTATTAGTCGGATCTTTTATAGATTGTAGATCTCATAAATACCTAAAAATCTTATATGAAAAGTTTTTTCGTTCCTGCCAACACTTTCGATTGAATCCCAAAAACACGTTTTCTCATTCTTTGTTGTCGAATAAAAAGTTTTACTACAAAAATTTGTATATCCATTTTATGCGTCCATGTTTTAAATACCCCTTGAGCAACTTGCAGCAATAAAACCAGACTTCACAATTATTTCGCAAACCAGAGGTATTTTCGTCTAATACGACTGGACTAATTTAAAATTCGTGCGCTGAAAGTCCATTTAAATCATCTGAACTGCCAGCTATATGAATCACCCAAATAGGATTTGTTTTGTATCACGAATACTGATAGAATGTAAGAACTTGACCATAGAACATTGTATAGCTTGGTGGAGACGTATGCCATGATAATAATAGCCTTCCCCACCGAGGTGGATTTTTTCACTACTATGATATACCGCTTTTCATTTCATAACACTTTGAAATTTATCTGAGAATTTTCTGAACGTCCGGCAACCCTGTCGGAATAAAGCACACAAAATGTCTGCATCGATCGAGTGCGTAGGAGAGAAACTCTGCTGCTGCATAACAGAGATCGACAAATATAGAGGATGCTACGATGACGAAATTTCACGTTTGAACTTGGGAGGTCAATATGCTTTTTAGGCGCAAAATATTGATACTCCGTCGAACAATCTATTTTGGAAAATACCCCATTATGCCGTTCAAATATCATATCATTTCTCGCATCTCTTATAAAAATTTCTATACATTTTCAAGGACTTCTGACAGCATAATTTTTAATAGTATTTCAGAATAATCCTTTACAATCGATCAAAAAGACCAAGACTGATAACATTCATAGCATCGACCCGAGCAAGATATTAAAAGTATCAAAATTTTCAACATCTAGAATCTCGTAACCAGATCATTTGTAACGGTCCAAAACAGTTATTTTGAGGTTAGAGCGGCACTACAAAATTTTGGTACTTTATAATAAATAGTAAGCAACAACTTGACAGACAACTCGTAGAGACAAACGTTATCAAATTATCTGGTTATTATCATACAACTTTCTCATAGACTGAGTCATATGTTATTTGAAAGAACTGGAGTAGTGAACATGGTTATTATACAGGGTGTTTGGAAGGTCGATAGGACACACCATTTAGAATCTTTTAAGCCAAAAATACCTTAGTTCAAAGACTTACGGTTTTCGAGTTATTCGAGATTTTTTTATTGAAAAAAAATATTCCTATTATCACTGAAAGAACATCAAACTATATGAAATAGCTTTTAAATACCTGACAGTGTGTTTTTTCTCCGAAAGCAGAGAAAAGAAAAACTAATTGACTGCAAATAAATAATAAATACATGTTTTTCTATTTTTGTAAATGTACTGATAAAACTAAATTCCACAAATTCTTGCTTTATTCCTCCCGAAACAAGTCAACAGTAATTCATAAATTTCAGTCCAAAAACCCTGAATTAAGTAGTTTTGTGGCCGCTTTCAAGAATACGCAGATATCGTTTAAGCCATATACAGATATGTAACAACACCGCGAACCGAACCACTCGACGAACCGCAGCGCGCGCATTTTGACGAACAACATTGCAACGAACATCACCACAAACCGAACGACGTCGTGCAACCACATCGCGCAACAAAATGACGATCCAATTCTGATCTTTGTCATTCAGTGAAAGACGAATACCAGCGGAAATGGATATAGAAGTAGCAGCAGCTGTCTATATTTATATTCACTACGGATTATCCAAAAACAAGCAACGACGACATCCGAGACGATGGTGGCAAACGCAGTTATATACCAATGGATCACACGGTTGCAACAATTTGACAGCGGAATTTAAATTTCAACAACTAAGTCGACAGTACAACGAGGATGTCTCTGACAGACTTTAAGTATCTTCTCACGTTGATTGGACCAAAAATACGAAGACAAGATACAAAATGGAGAGCTGCCATCACAGTACAAGAAATTCACGATGCGATTTTTAGCGACCGTTGATTAAGACAGTATTTTGCAGTACATGTTTCGAATTTCAAAGCAATCGACCAGCTACATCATTCCAGAAGTTTGTGGGGCATTGATCGAAGTTTTGAAGGAAAATATACAAGTAAGAAAAATAAATATTTTACTTCTAAGTACATTAACATTACAAAATAACACTCTGGTGCTCGCCACACTGGTATGCCTATCCAAACATGTGCAACCTGGTCACGAGCCATTCCTTTGATGTTGCGCTGAAAAACCGGCCAAGCCTGGATCGGGCCGAACGGCGAGCTGTAACGCTAAGCAGGTTCGCGACGGCGTTCTTTTCACCGTCTACACTAGCGCGGCGCGGTTCGTCGCGTGGTTCGGTTCGCGGTGTTGTTACATATCTGTACATGCTTTACATGTATGGCAGAGCAGATGGTAATGGACTAGAAGCACGACGGTTGTAGCAAGAGCGATTTCCTGGGTGAAGAATGCCTAATGTGTGTAGAGTGTTTTACAATACTTTCCGACGTCTTTACGAGACTGGAAGTGTAACACGTAATGAACCTGGTGTTAATCCGGGTCGATATTCTCTTGAAGCCACAGATCTAACCCTTCAAGCTTTTCAAGATGATCCCACTGCAAGTACTAGGAAAGTTGCTGCTGATCTTGGTTTGTCGCCATGGAAGGTTTGGAGTATCATGCATCGTGAACGGAAATATCCTTTTCATGGTATCGGCGTACAAGGACTTGAAGATGGTAATCGTATTCGCAGAAGTCAATGTTGTCGTTCTCTTTTACATAGTGACATTGAGAATGAAAGGTTCCTGGAAAGCATTCTATGGACGGACGAATCCAATTTTTCAAAGGAGAGCTTTACAAATTTTCACAATTTGCATCAATGGGCTGATAAGCAGGAAAATCCACACTGGAAAAAACAGGTGTCTTTCCAGCACAAATGTTCCGTTAGTGTATGGGCCGCCGTCATGGGACAAAGATTAATCGGCCCTCATTTTTTGCCTGAAAGATACAAAGGCGACAGTTATCTACACTTTTTGCAAAATGATCTTCCCGAATTACTTATAGGAGTAGAAATTTCCAGATGACGTGCAAATTGTTTTCCAACACGACGGATGTCCAGCTGATTTCTGCTTAGACGTAAGACAATATTTGGACGATACTTTTCCAAAAAGCTGGATAGGCAAAGGTGGACCAATTCCGTGACCTGCTAGATCCCCGGACTTGACACCATTGGATTTCCATGTCTGGGGGCGGGCTAAACAGTTAGTTTACACTGAAGAAATCGTATCAAGAGACCATTTAATACCTAAGAAAAATTCGTGAAGCTTTTTATTTGATGCAGCAAGACAGGTTATTAAATAATTACAACAACTATCGACGTAACACGTAGAGCTCGAGCATATATTAGAAACAATGGTTCTCACTTTGAACACCAATAAAGGATGTTTTAATAGTTTATTTTGTTTGGTGTACTAATTTATGATTTAAATTTGAAAATCCGAATATCTCGAAAGCCGTAAGACTTTGTACTGAGGTATGTATGGCTTTAAAGACTCTAAATGGTCTGCCGTATCCCGTCCCCAAGACTTTCTATCGACCTTCCAAACACTGTCACCTGGAAAACTGAAATTAGTACTTTTACAGGCGACTTTTCTCCTGTCTTATGACTTACTTTAACCACAACGCTTATCTGGCTGTTTCGATTCCCAAATCCTTGAAAGAATCAAGCAACTAACAATGTTTCTCAAATGAAATAAGACTCATTCATAACAAAGAGCGTAACAGTCATGCCATTTCTCGTCATAGTCCATGTAATGTGACACCCGTTTTTTGTTTATTTTTGTTTTTGTTAAGTTGTAGTACTGAGAGTGCACCTTTCCTTCTTTATGTTTGTGTAGTGGTCCAACCAGCCCCAGCGTGTCTAGGTAAGACGATCGTATTTTGTTTTTACGGGTTGGTGTATGCAGGTGGCTGGGTTTTTTCAAGCTTGTCAATTTTGAGGATATCTGTATCAGCACGCGTAGTGCAGCATCATCATTTTTTGAAAATTGTGTATGTTTGCAACAACAGTTCTGGGTGGGTTTTCGCGTTCTTGGAGGACGTCTGACGTTCACCAATATTTAACCTCATGCTCGCTTGTTGCTTTAGCGGCACTGGACGTATTTTAGAAGCGGAAATGCCTACCCCAAACGGTCTTGTTTTGCACATACGGTATTTGAATTAAAAATCCGGTCAAAACTTTTTTTTCATTTTAAGTTACTTCATAAACTGTAATTAGCTATGTTATGGCTACTATTACTACTAAGAACAGCAGGTAAAGAAATAAAATGCTTATAGTTGAAAAACGTGAAAATATTTATTAAAAAAATATAAAAGGTGTTATTTAGAAGATGAAAACCAAAAATCATCTAAATAGTCTCCTATCTCTGTTGCAGAGTCTTCAGCATTTCAATAGTTTCCTTGAGATATATGGTTTTGTAATTTTTCTGGGAGTAGGTCTCATGCCAATTATCAGGGGATCCGAGCTCAATGATAATCTATTTATGATATCAAGATTGCAAGACTTTCTTACTTAATGCCTTCTATTCTATGTAAAGATCCCATCTAAACCTCGAAAAGCACCCACAAACCATAACATGTTTGACAGTGGGCAAAGTGTATTTGGGGTGCAATATTTGTCCACTAGGACGTCTAACGTAATGAACACCATCTGATCCAAACATATTGAACTTGGATCCGTCACTGAAACATACCCTCTTCCAGTCACAGATGCTCCAATCAAGATGCAACCGTGCAAATTGAAATCAGTCCTTACGGTTTTTCCTCGAGATTAGCGGCTTCGTACTCGGGCGACGTGCAAATAACTTCAAATCATTTAATTTTCTACTCATAGTTTTCGTAGAAACACTGACAATTCCTTTTGTCTCGATGTTGGCTTTTATTTGTCTTGGGGTTTTAAACGGATCTTTGGACGAAATCGCTTTTATTAATCTAACTGATCTAGCATTTAGTTTTCTAGGCCGACCACTTCTCTTAGAGGCTTAGAAGATACCTTATTGTTTATATTTGTTCAATATTGCCCAAACTGCTTTACGCTTCAGCTTCAAATTTTTGGCAATGTCGACTTGACGTTGACCATCTTTGTATAACTCAATGATCTTAGTTTTCACATCGAAAGAAATTTCTGGACCACCCGGCATCGTCTTAAAATCACTCAACTTGTTCCACAATACTTGATGAACACAAACTAATCCTCTTCTGACACGAAACTGTAATAAACTAATGTTGAAAAGAATCTGTCTACATATTTTTGTCCCTCATAAAAAAGTGCTTATATTCAGACTTGTATTGTGTTCATTGCAGAGAATGTAAAAACAAAGAATTTAGTTTTTCTACTAATAACGCATTTGTTTATGGAGCAATGAAGTATGAATTCGTTTTCTAAAGGTATTTAGGTAAATATTCATATTTGCCTATATACTTTTCTCCATTACTGTATGTGGTTTACTTTGTCCAGAAAATAATGAAGTTCTATAGTCGTAGCAAGAATAAAGAAATATGCCAGTGATCTACCTTGACCACGGTCCTTATATGTAGTTCAAATACTTAAAAAATGATGATGCTGTAGACAATAACATTGATAATATAATAAAGGTACCTTTACTAACAACTTACACTTAAAACGTATCGCTTGGTTTGTTAAATATTTATTTATCTCATCGCTATTGCACTTAAAGCATCATTCTTTACTGTTGGCTTAGTGGCACTCTATGAATTGTTGGGCAAGCAATGGTCTTAACTCAAACTCCCCTCAAAATAAATGTTAACAGAAGATTACATAAAATAAATAGTAAATACAGTGTTGTCAAAAATGTAATGCACTGAAGAACGTCACCCTTGGGACCTGAACGTATACTACATTAAAGAAGTATCCTCTTAAACGTCAAAATAACAAAGTTTGAGCGATTTTTATTTTTGTTTGCATGGTTTTTCGTGATTTATGACATGTCATAGTACTTCCTCGCCAGTTGCGTAGGAACTAAAAACGATGTTTGGGGACGTCGAGTTTTCAATCTTGTTTTTTACTCGTAACTGTTAGAACTATTAAGTTTCTTCGTACTTGGCACGGTAGACGTCTCGAGTCAATATTTCATCCAAATCGAAACAGTAGGTACTTCCATACTTATAGAAAAAGCTCATGATTAATTAACGCATAGAGAATGAAAAAGCCTGGCCAAAAATTAAAAAAAATGTGTTTCACGTTCGATCCAGATTTTGTTCACAGTTATAGATATGTATATTTCATCTTTTGATAACATTACTTCCACTGGAACACATTCCAACATACGACTGATCCAAGTACAGGCATTGTCCTTCTATGGATTGAAACATTTATTTACCCATTCTATGTTGTTATTGTTCTTATAGGTGTATAATGAAGTGAATAAATGTCTACTAGTACTACTACTTAGATTTACTGCATAAGAATAATAGATGGTAAAAAAGTACAACTGTAAAGAAAATAAAAGGAGGAAAATGCCCATGTAACTGATTACAACCTAAACCAAACGTAGCTTAAAAATATAATGCCGGAGAAAAACACCTTTAAGAAGCACCATTGAGCAGAAGAGCTCTTAAGTGTTTTTTAAAACTATACAGCGGCAGGCTTTTTGTTCTGTAATCTAAGCTATTGTACAACATGCATGCATTATATGAGAAGGACCTGTTAAAAACAGATGAATTATGAACTGGCATTGTTAAAGCGAATGTGTAACGGATATGTCGTTGATGAACATTCATACCTAAAAATTAGTTTTTCACGTAAATAAATTAGAGTTCCAGAGACAAGTAACTTATGTATAAAGGTTAGATAGTTGTATTTAACTAAATCTGTCATCTTTAACCAACCTATTAAAGGATAACGATCCGAAACATGATCAAATTTTCTTAAACTAAATATAAATCGTACGCAGTTATTTTGTACTACAGATATTCTGTTACGACTTGCAACATCCAAACAAGGATGATAAACTAGATTGCAATAATTAAAAATTGCTGAAGTCTTGAAGACATAATATATTTTGTGTAATATGGATATTATGGACATTGTAGCATTAATGCTAAATAAATCTGAAACAAACAAACAAATATCAAGATGTGTGCCAGTTCAAAAAGGTCCAGAGGGAAATTGAAAATATACTTCATGGAAAACCAGAATTTATAGCAGGGAAACAAACAAACAAACAAACCTAGTTAAGAAATATGTTAATTTTGATTTCAAAGAAATTGGTATCAAATTATAAATAAATAATAATAAATAAATTAACATTGGACCACCATTTTGATTATTGACAAATGGAGATCATATTCGTTTTGAGCAAAAACGTTTACATGAGGTTTTTCGTGAAACTCAATGAAGATTTCTAATTCTGGTCATATTTTAGGACTTTTGGACTACTGTGGGATAGTATACAAACAGAAAGAATCACGTCCGTTTGTAAACGTATAAAAATTTGACAACCATTGCTTGCATCAACGTTCTCGCTTGGTAGCTAGATTGCATGACCGCTTCTTTCCTCAATCTTTGAGGGTCGTAAATCTGTTACAGCGCTCAAAAAACCAGCTGTCACACCAGCGGTGCCGATGAAACCCCTTTATTGGACCAGAATCGTCACTCCAGCCGCGGATGAACCGGACGACACTGGACAACCGAAAAGCGCTCTCTGGAAGGAGATCGATGAACTACCGCTTGACAATATCGCTCCGGAGTTTACTGAGTTGTTTTCCAGGTAAGGGTCTTACACTTTATTTTGCACAGACGGAAGAATGGTAAACGCCCCGCAGAAAGCGTAATGGAAATCGTTTTCGGCACTGTTCCTTTGGGAATACGTTACAAAAATATCCAGGATTCTACAGGATGTCCCACTATTGCGCTGAATATCAAGGTTATTTTTTAAAGATGTCTGTATTCATGGATGGTCTGATGTTTTCATATCCATCTTATGCGATTACTTGATAAGTAATTACCCGTAACTGGAAAACTAGTCATACAAGACCCCTTGACCTCCATATCAACGAAAAGCATGTGAAATGTGGAGTCTAAAATGTTAAAATATACGGTTTTTTTATACCGGAGCAGCCGCGCAGGAAGAAGCCTAAATGCCGGAACACCGCGACTGCTATGTCCGTATGGGGGTGTTCCATTTTGACCACCCTCTGTTGATCTTTCAGAGAACTTAAGAAATGGGTGAATTAGGTTATAACTAAGTATAATAAAAAAAATTGACTCACAATTTACTGATCCGCTTGTCAAGAGCACAGATATGCACACTGTCAAACGTAATGGTTTTTTGTATAATCCCCAATAGCCCAACAACTATTAATTAAAATCCATAATATGTTATATCAATATTCGTCTTATGAAAGGTCACAGAAGAAAAACTATGATGCTCCATTTAAAAAACAACCAATATTTCAGGGTCTAAATTTATATTATTATTATTTATAATAGAAATACATCGTGAGGCACCCATAGACAGTTTACTTTGAAAAGTTTTTGTTTGGGAGCAATACTCCGCCCTCGCATGGTTGGGTCACGCTGTATATGCTGCAATTTTTATATATACAGCGTGAGACAAAAGTTCCGAAATGGCTCTGTATTTACTCGGGTAAAGGGAAAAAGATCAAGGTCATGTCTTCACTAACTTTCAACAAGGAATTCCAATTGATCTTAAATATGACCTTGACTTCCACCTTGGTGAATTTACGATCAGCTTTATTTTTTCCAATAGAAACCCCTATTTTTGATTCCGGCAGTCGAAAGAACAGAAAATTTTACATGCAAGCACAATTAAAGTTCAAGGTCAGGATGAGTAGGAAAGGTCAAATGAATATCAAATGTGTGCTGCTAGGAAAATCTCACATGATTAGTGATGAAGATAACTATCAAGGTCAGGTCTGCGGTAAGTTTTGACGAATGATCTTGGATTTGACCCTTAACTTCACCAATGTCATATTTTTTTAAATAGAAACCCTCGCTAAAACTTACCAGAAGATGTAACTTTACCAGTTATTTTTATCGCAATCTCTGCGAGATTACAGAGGTTTTCCTAATAGCATTTAACCTTCATTTAACCTTTTTGACGTCCAGCGGTCATCTTGATCTTTAATTTTTATACATATTCGAATGCAAAATTTCCTGCTCTTCCGACTTCCGGCATCAAAATTAGTTGACTTTGGCTAAGTTTTAACTAGGGAACTACGGTGCTCCGTACAAATGATACCTAACCGATACTGCTTTAGCGGGTTTCTATGTGAAAAAAAAAACCTTGAAATGACCTTGAAGGTGGGGTTCAAGGTCAATTCCAAGTTCACTCGACAAAATTTACTAAATAACTGACCTTGATAAGATTGTAAGATTTATAATGGTTTTCCTAGCAGCACACATTTGACCTCTACTTGACCTTTAGTGGTCACCACGACCTTGGCCTTCAATTCATATATGAACGTAAAAGTTTTCGCTCTTTCGATTGCCAGCACCAAAAATAGAGAATTTTCATTAAAAAAATGAATTTGGTCTTGAAATGACCTTGAAGGTGAGGATTGAGGTCAAATCCAAGATCACTGTTAACTCGCTAGTTAAAATTTAGCAAATACCTGTTACTGATCCTGTGAGATAGAGGTTTTCCTAGCAGCAAACATTTGACCTGTAGATAACACCCTGACCCTGGAGTTCAATTCGCATTTAAGCGTAAAATGTTCAGCTCTTCCGATTTTCTGCATCAAAAATCATTAAAAAAAATAGAGTTGACTTTGAAGTCACCTTGACGGTTAAGATCAAGGTCAAACCCAAGGTCAGCGCTCACTTCCTCGTTAAAATTTACTGACGACCTGACCTTGATAGTTATTTTCATCAGTCATCATGTGAGACTTACAAAGGTTTTCTTAGCGTCACACATCTGATCAAAATTTGACCTTTAGTAGCCATTCTGACCTTCGACTTTAATTGTGTTTGAACGTAAAATATTCTGTTCTTTCGATTACCGACATTATAAATAGAAGCTTATATTTGAAAAAATAAGGTTGACCATGAATTAACCTTGCATGTTAAAGTCAAGGACAAATGTGAGGCCACCATTGAATTCCTTGCTGACATCTACTGAACATCTGACCTTGATCTTTTCCAAAAATACCTTACCCGGTAAAATACAGAGCCGTTCCGGGACTTTTGTGTCATACTGTATATTCTACTGTAGAAATATTGTTTTCGTCAAAAGCCCAACGGTAAAATAATAATCTGCTTTTCAGGCAAGTGATCACCAGAAAGACGACGTTGAAAAAAATCGAGGTGAAGGAAAAAGTCGAAGCTGTGAAACTGTTGGACAGCAAAAGGAGTCAGAACGTGGGCATATTGGCACAAAGTCTGAAAACGGACATGCAAGAAATAGAAAACGCAATCTACAATTTCGATACGTCGATCGTTAGTTTGGAAGCTCTGCAGCAGATATACGAAGTGGTAAATTTTTTTACTTATTGTACACATGGAACATGACAGTATCTCGGATGCATATAGAACACAAAAAACGAGCCTCAGTTACCAATAAAAAATGGCATCATTTTCAACAATTACAGAATTTCAGCTCGCTAACTAGTAACGTTCAACGTTCAAAAAATAAAAAGGGCTTTTTGAAAAGCACTGTATATGAATTACAATTTAAGAAATTATTTTTTTCAGAGAGCGACTCCAGATGAACTAGAAATGATCAAGGCTCACTTGGCGTCAAAACCCGACGTACCGCTGGACAAACCCGAACAGTTCCTATACGAGCTCTCCCAGATTTCCAATTTTGCCGAAAGGATATCCTGCCTGATGTTTAGAGTTGAATTCGACGATTCTATCAACACCATAGACCATACGCTAACCAACATCAAATCTACCTGTGATGTAAGTAGCGTATGTATTACCAGAATAAATTGATAACTGAAGGAAACATTTTTATCTTAAAGATCTGAGACATAATAATAACCCCACAATGCCTTTGCACTGCACCGCATTATTTCAAAAATGTTTTACTTTAAGGTTCGATGCATTTTTAATTATTTATGGGAAAATAATATTTTTTTTACATTTTCGATTTGGGCATTACAAGTAATTAAGATAATCGTTTAGATTGTGTTTTTAAACACAGCAATAATTCCTAACTCCAAATAAACACAAAAAAAACAGAATATTAATTTGTTTAATTTTCCAATATTATACTAAGTGACATATAAATCCGAACACCCAGTTTAAATGGTTTTATTTTAATAAAAATTTGTATAAGTACTTAATGAAGCATAATAAGTAAATGATAAAAATTTCAAAACGATTGCACTGCTTTAAAGCCCTTTGACCTTTAATAATGTGTGGATGCACCCTGATGTGCTACGCATTCTCCAACGCGCCTAGGCATGCTTCTGATCAGGTGGTCATAGTCCTCCTGTGGTATCTCATTCCAGGCAACCACCAACTCCTCTCGAAGTGCTTCTAGAGTCTGAGGAGGACGTTGCAAATTGAGCAATCTCCTACCCATCATATCCCACACGTGCTCAATTGGGGATAAGTCGGGAGATCTTGGTGGCCATGGTAACAATGTGACATAATTATGTTGAAAGAAGTCTATTGTGACTGTTGCAACATGTGGCCGGGCATTATCTTGTTGGAAAGTTGGATCTGCCAGGGTGTCAAGATAGGGTAAAAGATGGGGTTCTAGAACTTCGTGGATATAACGCTGCGCGTTCATGTTACCTCTGATGAAGATTAAAGGTGACCTGGAACCATAAGCTATAGCACCCCAAACCATAACTCCAACAGTGTGATGAACATGTCTTTCAACAAAAAACTGTGGATTCCTCCTTTCGCCACGTCGCCTTCTAACCCTGGCACGACCATCGTGCATGCCTAAACAAAATCGAGACTCGTCACTAAAGACAATACTGTTCCATTCCTGATCCCAGAGTGACCGTTGTCTGCACCACTCAAGGCGATTACGTCGGTGTTCTCGAGTTAAAGGGAGGACCCAGTGTGGCCGGTATGAAAACAAGCCAAAATTTCTCATTCGTTGGTAAATACTTCGCATGCCAATAGGTCTTCCGTGTTCTGCAAACTATTCATTTGCAATGGACCTGGTAGTGGAGAAACGGTCCCTTAAGGCCAATAATGTTAGGCGGCGATCTTCACGGTCTGTTGTTCTATGGCGGCGTCCAGTGCCTCTTGCTCTTTGCGTACGGCCTTCTCAAAGCCATGCCTGACAACACCTAACCACAGTGTCTACACTTCTTTGCACTCTAACTGCAATTGCATGAAAAGAAAGTACAGCTTCCCGAAGTCCCACTATACGGCCCCTATCAAACTCACTAAGTTGACGAAATCGTACAGGTCTCCGTACTCTAGGCATCGTAACCGATCGTAAAGGATGTCAAGAACCAAAATCCGCCAACGTTGATTCTTTACTGCGGCTGAAATATTAATTTTTAGAGCGTTAGCGAATTAAAAAAAAGCAGTATAAAAACCGGAATGTCCAACTGATAAGGCTGAAAATTTTTTCACTTGTTATTTACAGTAAGATAAATACATTCACCAACTTTTATTAAAGTGAAACCATTTAAACTGGGTGTTCGGATTTATATGTCACTTAGTATATTTTTAACAAATTAAATTAATTATTTACAACTAAAATGCTATTGGATAGTTAGGACAAACATACAAAATCTAAAGTAGTTGCTCGAAATGTAAACCCAATTGTTCAATACACAATTCACATCTACGAATGATTGAACGTGGTATAGCATTATTCAAATAAGGCCTTATTTCATCGCATGCATTCCTGATTCTGTCTATTAGCATATCTCTTGTGGTTACGGGAGTCTGGTACACTTTAGAAATCCCCACACAAAGAAATCTAATGGATTTAGGTCAGGGGATCGTGGAGGCCAGGCGACTGGTCATCCACGGCCGGTCCATCTTTCTGGATAATTTTCGTCCAGCCAGTTTCTAACTATTCTCGAATAATGAGCTGGACAACCATCAAGCTGGAACCAGGCCAATTATCTTAATCTAACATAACATCCCACATATTTGCATGTTGAGCCTTTAAAAATTCCAAGAAGGTCGCAGCATTTAACCTTGCAGGCAAAAGGTAGGGTCCAAATAGTCGATTACGGTAGATACCAATCCACACGATCACACTAAATTCATGCTGAAAATTTCTTTCCCGAACTGCATGCGGATTTTCATGCGACCAAATATGTTGATTATGAAAATTTACCACTCCTCGTCTAGTGAAGCATGACTCATCGGTCCATAAAACGTTACTTAAAAACTCCCTATTATTATCAGTTCTATCAAGAATCCACTGACAAAATGTAATTCTTCGTTCTCCGTCCCCTGGCTGTAGTCCTTGCACAGGTTGCAAATGGTAAGGACGTCTATGGTCATTTCTAAGAACACGGTGAACATGGCTTGCTGAAATTCCCAAGGCACCAGAAACTCTCCTAACACTTGTGGTCGGATCTCTATCAAACTCACGCAGAATCATACGGGTAAATCTGCGCTGACGAACATTTATGTTTTGATCCCTTCGGAGATTTCCAAAACCATTTTCAATTATTTGGCGATGCACTCTTACAAATACTGAGCGAGTTGGATGTCGTCTGTTTGGAAATCTTCGTACGTATTCTCTGGCTGCTTCTGCTGCGTTTCCATTTACAAAGCCATACACAAAATGAATATCCGCTAACTCTTAATTGGAGAATAAGAATGGCATTTTTATAAAAGTTACAAAAAAAAACAAGTAAAAGAAACTAAATTTCGTGCATTCACAATTGCAAAACAACGTTTCAGGTTTCAACAGACAACAAAACTAACTGTCAACTAATTGACGTTTAACCTTATCCTGCTTTCAATTTCAAAAATATTTGCAGGCACAGCCTACTTCTAAAAATCATCGAGATACTGACTTTTTAACGTTATTTTATCATAAATAATTAAAAATGCATCGAACCTTAAAAATCGAAATATCTCAAAAACGACTAACTATAACGAAAATTTACAAGAGAGCTTTTTTATGTTGAAAAGTGCGAAGAATCAGTTTTTTTATTCAAAAAGCAAAAAATTTCTGTCATTTTAATACACTACAGGTACAGTAGAGAGCGCCCTCTAGCGGCTACAGTAAAATTATGCCCATGGTTCGTTTTGTCGTACCAAAAAACCCTTGTATACCAATTTTCACTGTTATTCATCAAATATTGTTCGAAATATTTAAAAAAAAACTATTTTAGAAAGTAAATTTAAACACCCTGTATTTCGGAAGCCACGCATTTTTCGACCCATGTTTATATAGACTTTATGCATTAATTTTAAAAGTTCTATCGAATCTTTAAGTTATGCAACAATAAACTGAAACACCCTGTATTCAGTGACCTGTTCCTATATGATTCCTTCTAAGAGCTTCTCAACATCTGGCAGTACATTAATTGGCCGCATGTTTGGATATATATATATATATATCTCACAATCTTGCACTTTTGGAGCAGGAGTAATTGTAGAACATTCTAACTTTGAAGGAAATCCGCCATACACTACACAGTGATTCACTAACAATAATAACTTTTCTCTAATACTGTTGAAACATTCCTTCATAACCATTTTTGAAAGCTGTTCACTAGAATTCCTATTCGATTTCAATCTTGTAATAGCTTTTGAAATATGGCTGATATTGTTTGGAATTGTTAAAATCAGCTGTTAGATCTATTGTGATTAGCTGGTGTGATCTTCTATTTCGTTTTTTTTTTTGTATTTTCGTCTAGTCATTATTGGTTCTCATCTGGTTCCTTTTTGGTAAATCTGCAGAGGGTGGATTTGTCAATAAATTTTTTTTTCATTGGTTCACTCAGTTGAACATCAAATCTGAATATTTATTTTCTGGTTTGTATCTTATTTTGTATTGTATGTAAACACAATAGGTTTGGGTGTAAGAGTAGCCAGCTAGCTTAACTTCGCCTTATAGTTGTGATTCTAATAAAGACATTCTATTATTATTATTATCGAAATGTAAAAATGACGTTATATAATATCCCATTTTTCCATTATCCACGAGAGATTTGCAACTGAAAATACTATTCCGGTCGATCCAGGTATGTTTTTTTACAAAGATGATAGGAAGTGCCTATTGTCTTCGGTTTCACAAAAATATATAAAATCATTTTAAGTAATGAGGGGTAATCTGGAAAGCTAGAAGTAGATGGCACTAGCTGACTGGGGGTCATATCCGTTATATCTAAAGATTACGAAAAGACCAACGTGTCAATTGCAGATCAACTGTTTGTGTCAATAGACGTCAAAACTACGTTTGAGAGCTTTGACCACCATCACACAAGCGCCGCCTAGCGGGAGCAATGGACATGGGTGCCATTGTCACACTAACGTCCAAAAACATTTTTGAGTAGATTTTCTCGGTACTTCTCACATTTGCATTCACATATATCCGTTTATTTTCGAAGTTACAACAAGAAATTGCTTTATTTATGCCCAGAAATATAAAAATTGTAAAACATACGAAAACGGAGTTTAGGAACGATACCTACCTGCGTCGCTCAAGAGAAGTAGAATGTAGAGAAGTATAAAAAAATGTATATCCACAGAGACAGCAGTAAAGTAGTCTGCAAAAAGTTGAACTGTCGTTGAAATATAATTAACAGACTATCTCTTGAAACATATTGCGTGGGATTCCAGAAGAGTATCTTTTGTTATTAATAAACTTCCAAAATGATCAAGGATTATCAGATAAGCTGTTTTCAACATTCAAATTTTACCTCTGGTAACATACGTTTCGCATACGATTCCAATGAGCTAGTAAGTCGCAAAAAATATAGCCGCCCACATCCATAGTTAGCATATATTTTTTA